TGAATTAATTAATTCAGATTTTTTTTTAAATATTTACGCACACTACATGAGTTGTGAAGAAATGGTAATACTTTGTAAATTAATCGCCCTTGGCCGCGTTAAATGAACTTTTGTTGTGCTTTTGAATTGTAAACTTTTCTTATTTGTTTTTATTGCAATAAATTATTCACATAAATACGATTTTTAATTTAAGGCATTAAATCAAAAATATGTATGTCTAAGTTATTATAAATGATATATATAGCAACCAGCATGAAACTTCGCGGGGCAGTCAAAATATCATCCCCACTATTATTGAAAACAATAGCGAAGTTGCTTGCGAATAGGCTAGCGAAGGGGCTCGTGAATTCACTTCAGGATACTATCAAGTACTTGTGTTCCTTAAGCCGCGAAAATCGTAAAATCATAAAACACAAGCAACCGATAATTTCTAACCAGTCTATGTGTACCTAGGTTATGAAACAGCATTGGATTTTCCACGGATTACCGTTGTTATACCTGCAATGACTGTGTTTAATGCGCAACGATAATAGTGGACTTGAGTATCATCAGTCTCAGAAGTGTATATACTTACATAGAGTAGTTAAAGAATATTGCATTTATTATATATATATGGTAGAATACTTGAAAAAAAAAAAAATATGTTATTTTTTGAAGTGGATATTCGTTATATTGCGCGAGTACTGTATTAAGTTTGATAAAGTTCTGGCGACGTTTAAATAAAGTATAAAATACATATATTTCTTTATCTTATTCAGTAATGATAAATTTAGATGTGTCAATTCTTCAATTGTAAGTAAACTAATATCACAGTTTTAGAGCCAATCGAATGAAATTGTACACAAGGATTTATTGTGAATACTGGAAGGTATTGGTACAAGTACAAAGTGAACTGATACAATTTGGTGGATTATTACTCTTAACGCTCATAATAGATGTAGTAAAAGGAAATTCATTATTTTTGCGTAAAATTGAAGGCTTATTTAGGATGTTAGGTTGATCAGATTTAGGTCAAATATGCTCCGTTTTGTTTGATAACTTATTTTAATTTTGAAAGTAATTTCATTATGCTTTTGTCATAGAAGTCCTCGTTACTATTGAGGAAGTCGATTTTCTCAAGTCTGTCTTGAAGTGAATTTTTCACTAGAAAAATCGTTCGCCATGTGCAGGAACAGATGGTAATCACTTGGTGCCAGGTTTGAACTATAAAGTGAATGTAAAAGAATTTATATAAGAATTTATATATAATTATATTACATTATTATTATTTTTAATAACGTAATTGTGTTAATAATTAAATTTGTATAAAAAATATGACTACATGATTTCCTCCAAATGCGTTGATCAAGACCAACGAAACGTCGAGTTACAATGATAGTAAGAAAATTAATTATTTTTAATAAATAAGACTTAACAAACTAATTTATTAAGTAATTGATTTCTTTACCATAAATTCATGCGTAGAGTTATTACGATATGAACTCTAATGGTCCCTTGAGAATTAAATAAATTTATTGGTCTATTATTATAAAAATTCCTAAATTTTTTTTTTGTAATATTGCAAGAACGTTGAATGAATGGAGGATTTAAAGCATTACGGTTAGAAGGGTAGGGAGGTATATATGAAGGAAAATATTTAGCGATTACTGTTTGTGACTGCTCCATCAACTGCAACAACTACGCACACTTGTCCCCCTTTGTTACCAATCTAGTGTAAAGAGTATTAAAGTTGCGGTAAAACCAAAGGTAACTTATTTTCTTGTTTTATTTTTATTTATGAAATTGCAACCACAGCTATCTTGAGAAAGCCTGAATATCAAGTAAAATAAACGACATTTAGAAACAACCACATTTCACACATGCGACATATTTTCTGTTTTTCTAATAAAAAAAAGCAATTATTTCACACAACCTAAACGAGTTTTTTTTTTTATGTTCCCCAAAACGTTTTTAGATTTTTTTCTACACTTCATTAAGATTTTTTTGTTTGAAGAAGAAAAAAATAAACCTTAAAGCAAATCGAATGTAATAAAAATCGTTAATTCTGCACAAAATGTCAATAAACTCAATTTACACAAAATGCTAAGAAGTATAAAAACAACAATTAAAATATAACAACAATAACTTTAGAGAATGTAGCGTTACTTTTTTTTCAATGCCCAAAAGATAGAAACGCGCCAAGCAACAGAAACATTTATTATATTTTATCTACGGGTACGGGTACGGGTATGTGTACTTCTTTTGTGTTCTTGTTCGGATGAATTCAAGCTTAAAAATTGTTGGTAGTAAATTCCACAAGTGACTTCACTTTGTTTTCAGTTTAGTTCAGTTCAGTTCAGTTCAGTGTGTTTCATTTTACATTACATACACCAAGTTCTACTTATAGATAATGGCGCAACCTGGGTCAACCACTTATGAATGGCATGAAATCGTCCAATTGTATATCTTTCCCCACTATCCATCCATCTATTCTTGTTCTGCTGCTTTTTTTCTCGTATTCTGTCTCTCTCTCTCTCTCTGAAGTTTATTTGTTTGCCTAATAAAATGTGCGCGCTTCTTAAATTGTTTTTTTTAATTAGCATAAACACATAGTAGATTTTTCTATTATATATATTTATGTCAATCTGTTTGTATATATCTTTCACGGGTATTTTATTAGTGTGGTTTATTTATTCAATAAATTGCAGAAGCCTATGAAGAATTATTTTTAAATGTGTCAAACATAGGTACGTATTCATTCTACGCTCAGTTTTACTCAGTTAGTCATGCAAATTTTAAAAATTACTATTTGTATATATGTACATACATATTTGTATATATACTTATATATGAAATACATTTATTTTTATTTTAAACCATCGTTCGAAAGTTAAAATTTAAACGAAAAAGTATGTATATACTTTTTCGGATTTATTTTATAACATATATACATTGAAATTCATATATAGTTTTATTAATTGGCTATGGGAGTATTACGCGTAGAATACAATAAAAAAATTAAATTGTTTAAATAAATTCTTTCACTGATTCATTGTTGTTGTCGTATGTATATTGATTGAAGAAAAGACCCAGTACATATAAGAGGTACTAGTCAGTCACAGATACATTCCATATTTGACATATATATAATTTTATTGATAAATAGTAAACTATTCAAAACGAGCATGAAAAATGTAATCTAAGTAATTAATTTTCTCAAAGATGATCGTTCAATGAACTTTCATGACGACTACATAAAGAAACATATGAATAGATAATAAATTCATTAAAGAATTAAGCTTGATAAAATTTTATTTGCGAACTTTTAATTTTCTACTCAATATTTTTCTACACTTTTTGTACAGTTCTTTTTTAATTACTACTAAGTCATCTATTGAAATTACGAAGCAGATAATGAATTTTATAAATTATTTAGCTTTTTAACAATTTCTACAAATTTTTTGGTAATATGTTAAATTTTTGGACAAAATGTTGAAATAAAATACTTAAGTTGGCAAGAGTATAAGAAAGTGTGCTTGGAACGGTAGCATAATAGGAAAACCTATGTAAGACGTGAGCTATAAAACTTCAGTTAAAATGTAACTTTAGTCTACTCTTTTGCGTATATATTCACATCAACTCTACCATATAACAAACTATCCCCACCATAAGTAGTGGCCATATTTATTGGTGTTCTCTTAGACATATACGCATAAATATATATTATGTCACCGTTAGATAATCAGTTTTGTGAACCAGTATCATTGATTTATTGAATAAAATCCGCTTGATATATCACTACATTCTAACTGGCCACAATAAGTTGTTAGATTAATGCTAAAAATAAAAAATACTACCTTTTACAATATGATAGTAATGGAAAACTTTTCATTGTTGAACTATTAAGATGCACAGATGTTGGTATAACTAAATTGTTTCATAGAAGAGCAGAAAAAATAGTTACATGATAATCATCCCATTTGTAATAAGTGCCATCTCTGTGCTAAACAAATAAGAATGTACAATGTGAATAATATTATAAAGATAAATTTTCAAAAGTTAACTTGTGGCATATTTAAATAAATAATAGCTAAAAAACAATAAAAACAGTCAAAGTGCCAGTTAAAAGCCCCAAAATTACTGTAGTATATTTTTACATAAAAATTTCGTAGAAAAAATCTCTTTATTTTTGTAATTTTTGTAACAAAGAAACTAATTTTTTTTTATTGTTAAAGCAGATTACGAGATTTTTTTTAGTGATTTCCAATTAATATATAATACCAATAAAAATGCATTGAACCAATGGATAAGATGGCAGCGCTGCTCTTTCAAAGTTGGTTTTAAATTGAAATTAATTTAAAGACTGTCATTTAACAAGATAAGTAGTACAGTTTATTTGTGTGGTTCAACCTTACAATAACAAGTATTTACCTAATTAGTTGTTCCATAATTATATCTAATAATATATAATTATTATATTATGTAATCACCATATTTCCTTTTAAATATAAATTCTAAAATAGTGGAGAGAGATTTAATTGGTTTTGGCCACGATCACAAACAGTGACTCAGTCCCATTCTTCTATAGTTTCTTTTCTTCTTTCATAACTATATCCATTTTTAGGTATACCATACTAATTTTCTTTAAGTTGACTTTTATACGCTCCATTTCTCCGTTGTCGTATTCTTATTAAATTATTTTAATATTTTCCACGCAACGGTAGTCTTTTAAGTAAATTTGTGTGGGTTCTAACTTCAGTAATATGAGATTAACTTCAAAAAACTTGATCTTCTCATCCAGCATGAGTTCTTTCATCTATTTTGAGTCCAAACTCCACTTATCATATGCAGAGCTCCTTGCGGTTCAAGGATTCTTGAAAAGATTGCAGTGATCGGCGTACGAGCAACGCTGAAATTATTGAAATAATTATAACATATATACACTTTATTAAAATTTTATGTATTGCGTTAATTTATGTTTTGTAAGTTTTTAACGTATAATTTCTCTTTTTTCTTTCCAGATGTAAAGAATCCTTAGGTGCTAACTTAGTATAAGAAGAAATTATTAAGTACAATAAAAATTTTCAACAAAAAATTGTTAAAGGAAATAAGCCAGCCATATTTGCGGAAGTTAAACATATAAAAAAGAACTGTTAAGAAGTAACATCAGTGGCACAACAAGAAACAAATTCAGCTCTCTTAAAGGAAGGAAGTATAAAGTGTTTGAGCAAAGAAACACAGGTTGTATCTTTTAGTTTTGTTATATTGTGAAGACGCCTACTCCAAAGGAAGATGCACATAAATTTGTTGTAAACTGATGACAAACAAAAAACATTAATTTTAAGTAAATAGTTTTAAAAACTAACAAAACTAAATAAGAAAACTTTTTTATTAAGTCTGTACCAAGCACCAAAATAAATAAAAGAAAAGTGCAAATTAGTATTTTTGAGAAAGCTGTTTATAACGCAGAAAATACTAACTTAACTACCTGGTATATTCGTGCCACATATAAGCACGAAGGAATTAACAAGTTTAATTGCAAAAGTCAGCATACCAACAAAAACAATGTCTAAATATTTTAATTTAACACAGTCAGCAGCTGCAAATAGTACTGCAGCATATAGCACTGGTAACAGTACAAATAGTGCGTATGGGCAACGCCAGCGCCAACAAAATGTTCCAAGTGTTTCCTCGGCATCGCATGCTATACGCAAGTTGTCTTATGAACCCGTAGCTACATCAACTAATTCCGGTGGCAGCAATTCAAGTTCGAAAAACTCCAAAACTGCGACAAAACTGTTTTCAAATCCATCGGCAGCGTCATCGTATGTGTCAACATCAGGTTCTTCGTCACCAGTGTCAATTGTTTATCAAACAATTCCTACAACAATATCATCACAAACAAAACTGACACATCTGTTAGATCATGGTTATGGCGCAGCATATGAAATTTCTGCCACAACACCGACTACTACTACACCCGCCTCAACAACACAACAAGGTACACAGCAACATTTTGCGGGGAAATTTGCAACAACAACCGGGTCAACAACAACAACTAAGCACACAACAGATAATCAGCATATTACACAGTTTTATAAGGTGAAGAAGGTAGTTAGAGAACTCAGTACATTTTAGATATATCAACATCGTTTTAACTTTATACAAAAATTAATATGTATATATATTTTTTTTTTATCTATTCACAGCAAGTGAAACGTCATTTGCCTATGTCAGAGAGTCATCCAAAGAAGCAGGCTAAGCAAAGTTGCTCAACTTATGTGCAGCCCATACAACAGCAAACGATAAGTTTTGCAACACCAACACCTTCACCACAACCACCACGTCCACCGTCATCTGCCTCATCCACCTCATCGTCAGCTGCTTTAGCGGCCTTTAAATCAGGAGCAACTGCTTCATCATCTTTTCTTGCTTCTAAACGTACAACAGAAGGCAATAACCGTGCCGATACCTCATTGGGAATATTAACCAAAAAATTTATAGATTTATTACAAGACTCACCGAATGGTGTTGTTGATCTCAATGAAGCTTCAAATAAGCTAGAGGTGCAAAAGCGACGCATATACGATATCACGAATGTTTTAGAAGGCATTGGTATATTAGAGAAAAGGTCGAAAAATAATATACAATGGAAATGTGGGAATTCACTTGTTAGTTCGGATCGTGCTCGTGAAATGCTATTGGAGAGCGAAAGACTCGAACAGAAAGAGAATCAGCTAAACATACTGATTGATCAAATGCGTGATGAATTAAGCAGTGAAATATCTAAGAATAATAAATATGCTTATGTCACACATAGTGATCTAAAAAATGTTGACCTATTTGAAGATCAAATAATAATTGTGATTAAGGCACCACCCGAGGCCAAACTAGTGGTGAGTATAAAACAATAAGCTAGGATATTTTGATAGTTAATGAAATATGATTCAGATAATAATAATCTAAATTGTGTGTTGTTTAGAGTTTTTTGTAAAATTTTAAACAATGATTTGATTTTTAGTTTATTATTTTTAATTTATTTTATATAAATATTACCTATATAAAATGTTGACAACGTTTTCAAGTTCAAACGACTTCTTTTTTAGGGCGGAGGCTTATAACAACTCAATGTATTCAACAAACGATAACATTTATATAGGAAGTAATTATAAAAAAAAAATTAAACGAAAAAAAAACAGTTCTTTACAAAAAAAAGAAGCATTCAAACAACAAATATTGTATTATCCTTGTGAAAATACACGCTTGCAATGGAGACATGTTTACATTGTTTCTATCAACAATGAACAACTGATGCCGGAACGTAGACTTAACCATCCGTGAAATTAATCATTTAGTTGTGTCTTTAGACTATATCATTTAATTGTATAAAATAACAAGAAAATATGAGTTATTGATTGTACGTAGATGTATTTTTTTAAAATCTGCTTTAGTCAGAAAGAATACTTTTGTCATATCTGACACTTTTGCAGGTAAAGGCAAGACTTCACAGCCCATAAAACTCTTCGATAAGTTTAAAAGAAAATTACGTTACAATATATACCTTCTCTTATATAAAATAAATACATAATTTAAGTCCAATATTTCTACTTATTGGGTGGAATAAATGGTCGAACATAGGTCCCACATCCAAACATTCCTATGTTTAACATCCAAACATTCCTATGTTGTTGTTGTAGTAGCCCATTGGAATCAGCTTGTGTAATCCTTTTGGGGGGTGTTGAACGGCGCTTAGTCGTCGAGGTCGACGAATGACTTCGAGATGTAGACCCGACCGTTCTTGAAACCAAACATTACTATAACTTAAAACCTCACTTAGGAAAAAACTTCTAAGAAATTTTTTACTCTGCTATTTCTAAGAGATTCGAAAAAGTTTGGTATTTGAACAAAACTATTAGTTTGAGATATATTTTGTTAGGGAGGATCATTACTAACCGATTTGATTGTTTTTATTTAATTTATTTTAATAAATAAACAATTTCTTTTAATTTCAATAGTTTATAGTGTAAACTTATTATTTTTATAAAAAATTTACTTAAAAAAATAAAAAGAATAATTTTATTTTTTTAAGTAATTGTTTAATTTTCATTTAAAAAAAAAAAACATTACTCACATACTGTCTGCATTCCGCTTACACAAATTTTATTTATAGTTTAGAATTCGTTTATAAAAAAAATAAAATTTCATTGCCTTGCGCTTATAATGTATGTATATTGGACTGACGTCTACACTGCTTAAATGTTCTATTATACATTCAATTTATCTATTTTATATCTGTTTATTAACTTATTGTTATATTTTAGAACACATCTAATGTGAAATGTCTGGGTAACATTTTTTTTTTGTTCCTTTGGTTTGTTCTTACTGCGAAAAATTAGTGTATTTAAGTATTTTTTTAAGATATTCATATTTTGTGAAGCTGACTGCATTCTACATAGAAAATCAATCATCAAATATCTATACTTTCGGAAATATCTTAAAGTATGTATTTTTTTGTGATATTAGCAATATCTTTAACAAAACTACAGCCAATGTAGTTGATAAATTGCACGAAAGTTGTGGATTATTGTTTACAGACCGTTGATATGAAGATCTCACATTACTACTACTACTTGACCTTTCTAAAATTGAAGTTAAAGATACACTTAAATCATAGTGCATATTCTAAAAATTAGAATCCTGTACATGCAACTTTGAAATCCTTTGTTTATAACCCCATATTTTTATTTTTCCAAATTTAAGATACTATATCATCTGAACCTAAAACGCCTGAAAATCTTATATTACAATACGAAATTTCTAAAATTAGAATTGTAGATATCTTGGCACATTCAAACATCGTTATACATTTTCTAAAAAAAACAGATGCGAACTTCACATAACACTTCTTACCAGTATTATGTGACCTAACTGTGCTCCTATTTGTTAAAAATAAAAAAGTAATAGAACTTAGTTACTAAACAAATTCGGTTTATTTAATCCATACAGTTTCTAGATATGGACAGCTAATTTTGCATTGCGAACCGGACATAAGATTTTCATCCTTTAGTTTTATTCTGAACATATCTCTGTATCTCAGTTGTAATTCTCAATTTGACGCTTCCCTGCTATCGTTTCCTTCTATTTTGACTCTTCTCTTTCTTTTCATGTTATATACCTCGTTTGTTTTTCTACTAAAGCAAAAAGTTTTATTTAACGTTTTCCTTCTTTCTATTGCTATTTCCATTTTTTTTATATCTTGAATTTTCTTTAATATTATTTTATTTATTAACATTTATATTAGAAGTTGAAGAACTTCTCAGTTTCTACTCTTGACTGTATTTTGTAGTTGTCAATTTTTCTGTCTCTCTCTCTCTCTGTCTGTCTCTTTCTTCGTTCTGTTGCTATTATTTTTTCTCTCCTTTTTGTCTCTATATTTTTTCTCTGCTTTTATTCTCTATATTTTTTTCTCTCCTTTTTTACATATATCTGTTCTATTTTCTTTCCTTTTTTATATTTTTTTGTTCTATTTTCTCCTTATTTTATCTCTTGCCTTTTTCTTTCTTTCGTATGTTTTTTAATTAACTTTTTTCTCCTTTTTCTCTGAAAAGGAGATTATCTCCTCTAACTTTTTTTACATATAACTTACTTCCTTGTCTAAATTCTTATCAGTTTTACTTCTGTAATAAGTAATTATAAAAAATTAAGTCTTAAGTCTCTCTCTCTATCTGCCAAATTTGGTGGCATCACAATATCTCTGTGTGTGCCACTCTGTCTGCGAATGGAAGAGATTTCTATATTACCCCTCGGTGCCTCCATCTAATCACTATTTATTTCTCTATTCTCGTAATTTCTTGTATTTTTCATTTTTAATATAAAAATTACATATTTGAAGATTATAAAATGAGAGAATAACAGAAATCTATTATTTTGCTGTATTTTTCACTCTATCTTCTGTCAAAGAATAATAGTAATAATTTATTAATTATATTAAAAACATCGACTTTTCGATATGCGAAGAAAAACTAAAAATGAAAAGAATTCATCGAGAAAATTTCGCTCCACATTTATTAGGGCACATTTAATTACTAACAAAATTTTTTGTTACGTTACTTTTCTTTGTTGTACGGTGTCCACGGACAGTCGTCGTACTCTGTTTCTGTTAAAAAGAAAAAGTTAGTCCCACAAATATCATTTCTAAAAATAAATTCAAATCATTTACTTTTCAAATTGGTCAAATAGATTTAGCAAATTTTGCCGTTTTTCATTTATATTTAAACCAGACAAAGAACGCACGTTGTCAACGCATACTCACTCGTAGGTATTTCATACGATTTTGATAAAATTAACTTTACAAAAAAAAAAAAAAGAAACTAATTAGTAACACAAACGTTATTAATTAATTTATTATTATTAATTTATTTCCATTTTTAAATATAGATATGAATGAATAATAATATTATATTATATTTTTAGCTACCTGATTCCAACTGTCCACGTGAAATATATGTTAAAGCTGAAAATAATGGTGAAATCAGTGTGTATCTGTGCCATGATAATTCACCAGAAAACTCGCCCACATTTGCTGCAACAACGGCGACTGCCGCCCGTCAACATAATGACACGTTATTTAATGATATCAATCGTTTAACGCCAATTATGACTGCACAAAAACATCACGGACTAGGTACAATGTTTCAAACTATCCTGTTGGCAGCAAAATTTGTAATATACACCGCACATATGTATCTTTTTGTTTATAGGTTTACCGGCAATTGCATCAACCGCATCATCAGCGGCGGTGGCGGCCTCAACTCCCTTTACATATCCCATACGTTCCGCACAACGAAATCTGAGTAAATCAATAGAAGCTGCTGCAAAACAAGAAATTGATTTTGGTTGTGCCAGTTTGGTTGGTGGTACCAGTAATAATTATCAGCAACAATTACAACAACCAACGCTACAAAATAAATTAAATGCAAATATTGGTGAAGAATACAATTTGTTCCCTACAATAACAAGACCTGTGCTAACAAGTACTGCGCTCTTACAAAATTCAATAATTGCCTCGTCTAGACCAAATACCGCCATGCAAAATATAAAATTAGAACCTGCTGATGGTTACGCCGTTGGGTCGATCGTTTTGAAACCAAGAAGAGAACACAGTACTGCTGCTGCAACTACTAGCACAACTGGAATTGCTACTGCTGGCAGTCAACAAGATAAAAATTATACGCTTAATAGTTTTAATAAGGATAGGAATACTGGCCTAAAAAATGATGTTAACATGGTTAATTGTGCAATGGAACAGCATAATACAAGTGTTGTTAATGTAAATGCTGCTGGAACTGAACAGAATCTAACTATGCCTGATATGATGAGTTCCACAAATGAGACAACTGCTGTTCTACACTGTTCAACAAGTAGAAAGACATCAAGTACACCACAATCAACAATGTCATATATAATCGAAAGAACAACATCCGCTGGCGGTCAAACAAGTACAGATACTGCAGACACAAGTCAAATGGTGGACTCACATTTAACGCAAATCGATTCAAATAATGCTTCAAGCGTCAGGAACGCACTTATTTCGGATTCGGTTAATTTGAGTCCTGGCACATTGGTTGGTGAGCAAAATTGTAAGTTTTTAAATTTATTTTCAATGCAATTAATTCATAAATAAAATATATTTACTATAATTACATATTTAGGTTTGTTTAATTATAAATATTTTATTTAAATTTATTTTTGCTAATAATTTTTGCTATATATTTATGACATATTTATTTAAAACTATTGAGGAACTAATAACGAATAAGAGCATATTATTATATAAGAATGTATTTGATGTCTCTATTATTAATTAAGTTTAAACTATTTTTATTCAACATTATAATTTTGATTAATATTATTATAGTTAATAACAATATTACTATTATTTATAATAATAATTATATTAATATTATTATTAATAATAATATTGTTATTATGAATAATATATTATTATGATTAAAAATAATATATTATTAATATTATTTATATATGACCGGAAGCAATACCTAGTGGTAGTTATAGGTCAATTACTTTATCCTGGAACGGAAGAGTTTTTAGCGGAACAACGAGTATCGTGAACCCCGCACTACCCACAGAAAGACGTCTCTGTGGGTGCGTTAAGTCATTTTTCTTCCAGCCTCGAATAAAAAACAAAAATTATTTATATTGTTAATATTTTTTATATTATGTATATTATTTATATTATTAATATTAAAATACTAAATATATTTCCTTTCCATGGTTATGTATTTATAATAAATTTATATATATTAAAAAGTAATCATTTATCAATAACACTTATCAATATTAATAATCTTTTGTTTATGCTTTAAACTTATATGAATGGTTCTACTATTAAATTTTATCAAACAATACAATTTTATGTATATTAAACATTAATTATTTATTAATAATACCTTTCAAACCAAATATAAATAATATATTCTTTATTCCTTAAAGGAAGATTCTACTAAAAATTTTATTGATATTGTTTACATATTTATACTAAAAATATTGTTTAAATATTTATTTATAATCAATATTAAAATATCAATATTAATTTTTTTATTTTTTTCTATTTATAAATTATGTGAAACGTTAACTATTAAATTCTATTAATATTAGTCATGTGTTAATACTAAAAACATTTTTAAAAATATTCATAATAAGTTGTATATTTATTAAGAATTAATTATATATTAATAATACTTGTCAATATTAATATTATATATTTTATATATAAAACTGGTATTAAACATTCTACTATTAAATTCTTTTTACACTGTTTAATATTTTTTTAAAAATTTGAATCTCATAAAGTGAATCAATTTTAAAATTGGGTCACTCACTTCATGATAATTATTAGGGGTTTATATTATATATTATTGTAAAATTTTATAATCTAATATTATGTTGAATTTGTTCAATTTATACATATTATTTGTTTTATATACATATTATTTAAATTATAATCTATAATTAAATCTGGCTACCACTATTACTATATCATTACTATTAAATTTTTCATATCATTATGTATCATAAACAGCATCATTCTCCTAAAAAAAGTGCATAACCATAGCATCATAACACTCACGAAAAGCGCTTGGCGGGAACTCCGGCTGTGATTTGCGTATTTTCATTTCTCTCGCATCACAGTCTGAGTTCTTGCTGTGCGTTGTTTCACATTCTGCTATCAAAGATTTGTAAATAATTAATTTAAAAATTTAATTTATAAAAATTGCAACCAAAAATAAGCACCAAACGGAAATTATAATTTGAAACTAACAAAAGTCTGAAATATGGTGGTTGTGTTGGGTAGTCTATAGCTGTTTAATATAAATTTAATTAAAATTGGAATTATATTTTACATAATAATACTTAATTAAAATTGCCAACATCCTAATAAGGAGGATGTTAGTAAATATTTAAAAAGTAATTAGGAAACGAGTAATTAAGATTCATCAGTTTTTATAAATGGAATATTAAGATATGCCAGAATTAGAATTTAGTTGATAATACTAACATTTCTCTATTTTATTTTTATGATATAAAATTTAAATAATTTTTATTTTTTTAATATATAAGGCAAATGTAGGTTAGATGATACGAAAGATTTAACGATGTATAATTCAAATATTATACTGGTTTTTTCTTATTATTATAATTTAAGAAGCTTAGGTGATATGGAAGATCATGATGATATAGATATGAAAATATAATCGTTTAGTGTCAACTTTTGTATAAATCACTTTAATAATGCATGACGAACAGATAGTATTCAAACAATGACTTTTTGTTATTTTTCTCAATTAAGAACTTTTTTTCGTTTTCAGTTTAATAAAAAAAATTTCAATATAAGGTATTGATTAAGACCATCGAACAGGATTAAAAGCACTTATAATTACATAAGACAAAATAAAATTCATAAATAATGGTAAAACTGGTATAGTTTTCAGCTTAATATTCTTGAAATATAGATAGATATGTACGACGTACTGCATTTCTATAATATTCTTTAATTAAAATTTATGTTAATTTTTTTTTTTTTTTTACAATTAATCACTTGTCTCTCAATTCCACTAGTCATAAACTTTTTAACTGCTTAATTTTACTGTGGGCCAGGACATATCCAGATATCAAGAATATATTAAAGAAGGGCTTTCTGCTGTTCATTTATGACATGGAATACATATCTTTTCGGTTAAGGACAATTTTGCAGTGTGTGTGCGAAGTGGTAGCCTAACTTTCTGTCTTTTGTATATGTACCTTACTACTTTAGACAGTAAAGTACTTAAATTTTTTATTAAATAATTGTTAAAAAGAAATCTATATAAATAGAACGTATAAATCTGAATCTAACATCTATTTCATACTACGAAAAATAATGTTCATTAACTGCTCTTCAACCATTGTCTTCTCTCGCAAGAAGTTAAAATTTAAGTTTTTCTTTTTTGTGCTCACTTGTATTTAAAATTATTATAAAAAAAGTCTCTCATTACCGCACAAATTACTTCCGTTTTCTCTCATTATTTGCATGTTTTACTCAAATTACTGATTGCAGAGCAAATATGGAATGTGAATGCATCCCCGGTACTTTAAGTACCTTTCCTAAAAAGGTACTTAAAGCCTTTCGTAGGTTTGTAGTGTGAAGAGCATATTAGGAAAAGACAATATTAGAAAGACAATATCTTTATTTTACCAGTATCTACATAAATATAAAAAATTTCTATAACGCTCTTATAAGTTTTAACTGGTAAATTATTGTTTTCTTTTGTGCCAAGACTTGAAAGAATTCTTAGAGAAAAGAGCTATTTTGCTTTTCTGGCATTTGATAGATTTATAACAGGTGAGTATCCGGATGAGATCTAGTCTCTCTTGAAATCTCTTGGGTACTATCAGATAGATAGCAGTCTGCTTTGTTGACGAAATGAAACTCATTAAGGTCTTTAATGAAGTAGACTCATGCTGGTGTCATACTCATATACTCATAGATTATATACCAAGTTATATGGGAACTTGAGTAAATAAAGTAATTTTTTGATAATATTGACTGTTTTATACTTTGTTTTAAATCAGTTGTGATGGTAGACTTAGACTTAGACTACTTTTATTCTTTTTAAAACTTAAAGTTCCAATTTACATTGTTCCGTTCTGCATATGACGTAGTACAGTCATTCTAATTGAGATAAGTAATTACTTATTTATACTTTGAAAATAATCAATACGATTTTAATCTTTCTAACAGTGAGAATAAAGTTCTTTAAATCATATTTATGATATCTGCTTTACCAATTCTTATGAGTAATAAAGATCTTACACAAACCAAGTTAATTTTCGGAATAATTCTTAGTTGTAATTATGTAAATATCGAATATTAGTAGGTTTATGAAATAGATTTTGATTTAACAACAATAAAATAATACACCCTCCAAATTTTTAATATTTAATGTAATATATAGTATGTTAGAGTACATAATAGTCATAGATCATTAATCTTATATAAGTGATAAGATTATAATATAATATTATATTATATTAATATTGGAATAAATAATGAGTTATTCAGAAATGTATATAATTTTGTATAAATAAGAAAAATAAATATTCTTATTGCTAAATCATACAACATACAATCAAGTCATGGTTAAATTAATATTTTCGAGTTCCTATCGAAAGATCAAGAGTTGGATTTCTGGACTTGTAAGAATTTTTCAAATTCTTCGATAGTATTACTACAACAATTTATATTCGTACAAGAGTATAAGTCGTATAAGTTACAATCTGTTATTTATTAATTAATATAATTTATGTAATTTAGAATTTATTAAAACTTATTATAAAAATTAAATTTAATGTCTTTGATTACTATATATTAGGCATTAATTAGTTTCTTGAGAACTATTGATATATATATAATTTAATGTACACAGAAATTTATAGCTAAATATAGGATGTAATTTTATCAAACCAAACTTTACGTAAAATTAAAACTAGGATGTTGGCAAGTTATAAACAAATTATTAAAATAAGCAACAAAAACGAGAACTCAGTCCAAAATTTGAATTTTTTTTTAAAACCTTAAAAATAATTTCGGAAACAAACATAATTATTTTTATAATAATTAAATTTTACAACAAATTACTAAGTTCGAGTAATACTCACCTGTCATAGCTATATTTTTATTTTTTATTTTTTTGTGCATATATTTTGTTTTTAATAAAACTTTATTACACGAGGGTTGTTCGATAAGTCGGCGAATAATGTACCAAACAGTTTTTAAAATATTTTTGTGTTTTTACTTTTTTATTATTCGGCCGTATTTAAAAACTTAAACCTAGATTATTTCTCTGATATAGGAGCCTCTTTTGTTTTGTTTATTTTTTAACAATTTTTTGAAAAATGAATCACTTCAAAAACAAAAACAATGTTTAAGAAGCAATACGGGACAATCTGTGCCGTCATATGCTATAATTCCAAATTGTTAGAACTAGTTCCGTTGTGGTCCTATGGGCACCAAAGAATCAAAGAAGTTAATAATTTTCGTACAATTATTTAACTTCTCTTATTCTCGATTATAAGCAGGTTTCTTTTATTTTCACTTAAAGCTCTCTTGATTTATTGTTTTGTAAAAGAATTCCATAGATATTTATCATAAATTTTCTATTGAATTTAAAATTTTCCTCAGACACAAATCAAAACTTCACAATCATTCATTTGGCAAAATCTTTCCGGTATCAACATAATGAAAATTTTAATCCGCATTCATATCAGTACCATATAATAGTACCGAAAAAGACAAAAAAGAATAAAAATTCATTTTGGAACTGAATTCTCGTGGGTCTGCATTGCAATCCAAAAGGGCAATTACATTGAAATTGAAATTTTGTAGCACCATGAGATTCAGCTCTGGCGTGAATTTCAAAACAAATAATACAAAATATATATTTTTATTTTTATAATTATACATTAAAAAAAAAAAACAAAAAAAAAGATTGTATAAAAACACATAAACCATGTTAGTAGGTAAAATCTTCTTTTATAAAACTAGAGAAAATCTGAATATGTAAAATATATTAACTACTGTTAATAGATCATATTAGTAGATCATAAAAATTAATTTTACTATGGAAACTACTTACCTTTAAATATCAAAGAATAAACTCGACATCCTCAAAGGGGGGGGTCTTCAAAATAGACATGAAGTTCGAAATGTACAAAAGCTGTTTAAAGTGATAGGACTAAAAAAATACCTATAGAACAGAAGTAATAGAGAATTTTTAACTGATGGAACTAGAGAAAGCTTGCTGTCATTTTTGTTGTTATGCGAATCGTATCACTCTCTGCGTACAATAAAATTCATAACGAAAGTGGTAAGAGACTCTTGATTATTGTTGTAACCCTGCTGGTATTGCCGCTTTTAGGAGTAAACCCAGCTGTTACAGAAGTTATAAATAGATTCAGTTGTTGCTATACAAAGTTTTTTAATTAACACTTAAATTATTAAAATCATACATTTATTATGAACACTATTACACTAATAATACTATTTGAAAAAATAGCAATAAAACTTTAAATTTAAATTAAATAAGATAAAGTATTATTATCCTTACAAAGTATAAAAGTATTCATTTACTTTTATTCTTCTTTTATAGTTCTTATATACATTGTATTTTTTTTGTAAAGTATTAATATATTTTAAAAATATATCTACCTAATATTTTGATATTTCAAAAAAAAGAGTTTGATTTATCAAAGAAAACGATATTTTTATTCACACTAGATTCAGTGGAACCCAACCTTTTTTTTTTATCTTTATGCATCTCTGGTATAATATATAATGCACTTAATTACTTGGCAAAACAGATAACAACGGTTGGAAATAGAAAGAAGTGTGGTGGGAAGGGGAGGGGGCATATGAAAGTGGTAATTAAGGATTAAGGTTTTAATGTGCACAAAAGAAGTGTATAGGTAATATATTCATTTCATGGTAATATTTAATCTGATTTTAAATCTAGGTTGAAAATATATCCCGAGACGATGTATATGAGCGCCACTTGTCTATTTATGAAATTTCTTTTTATAGTTGATTATCTTATTTTGAAACCGTATTCACTTATATATGGTATATAATATATATAAATTTATATATGTATGTATAAAAATGAATATATGTATGTATATATATAAATGAACATATATGTGTATATAAATAAATATATATATAAGTATATAAATTATTAAATATATAGTATGTATGTAAATATATATGTGTATGTAAATAAATAGATATTAATATGTATATAAATTAATAATATATATATAGAATTTCGTTTTTATTTTAAATCAGTTAAATTTATTTTCATATTAAGTCATTTATTTTACATACCCTAAACTGTAACTTTAAAGTTAAAAAATAAATATATAACAAAAAAATTTTTATTTTATTTTATAGTGTAATTAGATATTTATATATATGTTCTATATATATATATATATAAAATATATAATATATAACTATACATATATATAAAATATATAATATATAATTATATATATATATATAATATATAATTGCATATATATATATATATAAAATATATAATTGCATATATATATATATAAAATATATAATTGCATATATATATATATAAAATATATAATATATAATTACATATATGTATATATAAAATATATAATATATAATTACATATATATATATATATATATATATAAAATATATAATTACACATATTTTTATGTTTTATGAAGTATTAAATAATAAATAAATGTATATACCATATATATATATATATATTGTATATAAATCTTAGTCATATGTATTATTTGTGCATTTATTTTTATAAAAACCTATCTATAAACTTAATTTTAATATAATTTATTTTATTTTTCCTTAATTGGTATTATAAGTTTTTGACTTTAAATAATATATAACTAAAATAAATTATATTCTTTTATCTATTTGTAGATCTGCTCGATTTGCCACCATTTCTGTCAATTGAGCCGCCATTGGATATTGACTATAACTTCTCATTGGATGAATCAGAGGGTCTTATTGAACTATTCAATGATTTTTAGATATAAATACAAAAATAAAATTCGCATATATATTTAATAAATGTAAATGTCCTTATATATGATTTACATATTTATTTTAATCATATGTATAGGTATGGTTTATATATAGTAATATACAGTACACTATAAAATATTAAGCTATAATAATTAGTTTTGTTATAAACTATAGTGTATATATAAATGTAATAATTATATACTAAAAATGCTAATATTGCATATACAGAAAACATACATACATACACACAAAAAACATACTAAAATATACAATTGTAAAATAGAAAATATAAATTTAATATAAATAATTTTTAATAATAGACAAAAATGCAAAATCAGGAAAGCAAATTTATGAAAATAATAAAAATAGTTAAAAGTAAGAAATAAGAAAATTTTTTCTAAGCATGCAAAATATAAAAAGAAACCTAATACAAAAAAATAAATTTTTCAAATGTTTAACGTATTACAATATACGCATTACGCATTGTTTAATTTATCAATAGTTTTCTAAATTATATATTTTTTATTTAATATTTTCGAAAAAAAAAATTTGTAAAATGTATAAAACTATCTAAACGTGTTAAACACGTCCTGTCATGTTAATTTTTTCATAAAAGAGAAAAGTTAAAAATTTTACTCGAAAATTCAATTGAATTTTATTTATAATAAAATTATTTAAATTAAAAATTATATTAAAAAACAAACGTAATTATAAAATGTAATTCATTTTTGTAAATTTTTTTCCCATATTTTTCTCTTTAATTAATAATTTAATTAAATTATTTTGTATATACAATTTTATCAATATTTTTGTATACAAAACTGATTATATTTGCAATTAAAAAAAACTTATATTATTAATTATTTGAAAACTATATGTTTGCGCTTTTACAGAAAAACTATATACATTTTTTTGGAAATAAAGTCTTCGTTAATAATAGCGTACAGAAAATATTAATTATTTAATAAAAAAAAATTCAAATTTATTATATTAAAATCAAAATCTAATTGGAATTTACAACAGCTACAGCACTTCAAAATATTTATGTAACAAAAAATAGAAGCAAATATAGCAACAAATTTTAAATTTTTGTTATACTACAAATCTTTATTGATAAATAATAACAAATTTTCCTTTTTTTTTTATATATAAAGATAAAAATTGCATCAAAACTAAAAACCGCCAGTAAAAAAGTACACCGTAAAAAAATTTAAACTTTAAATTTAGTAGTAAAAAGAAATGAAAACCCAAAAAAGAAAACAATCGAATAGTGTATTTCAATAATAAGAAATTTAAGTTGAAACTTAATTAAAAACTTTAAAAAGAAAAATTATAATAAAGTGAAAAGCAAACTTTTAATTTTAAAAAATTGTTAAGTACTTTTTATTATTTCTTTCCAAAATATATAAAACAAATGTTAAGTTTAAATTTAAAAAAATGTGTCTTTTTTTCTATAATATATATATTACGCTAATATATAAATGTAAGTATTTACCTATATTAACTATAATTCTTATCTGGAGATGACTGGGTGTATAAGTAAACTATCTCCGTGAATAATATAAAGTCTGCTATACATAATGAATGAAATATATAGTACTTTCCACTTAAAACAAACCGAAAATGGTTTGTGGATAATGTATCCCTTAACACCCAGATGACTGAGTGTATAAGAGAACTATTACCATGGATAATACAAATCCTGCTTTTCATAATGAATGACATATATAGTACTTTCCGTCTAAAACAAACCGAAAATGGTTCTTCGAAGGTCGATTTTAAGCCCTTTTTAAATGAAGTTTAGGCAAAACCGAAGAAAAAGTGAGTTCACATTTAATTTGAAAAAATACTTTTTTTTATTAAGGTTTTCAATTGCTTCTGATCCTTTGGTATAGCGGAATACCTTAAGATCGGCTTTAAACTCGTTTAAAACGAACTTTCAGCTAAACGGAAATAAATCTGAAAGTGCATATAGTATTGTATTTAAAATAACTTAAAACGAATCGATCACTTTCCGATCCTTCGATTTAAGCAAAAAGTACTGAATAGTAGACTATCTGCGTTGTGGTTTTTTAACAAAGAATACGTTTTAAAGAGGAATAGATTTAGATCTTATGATAAATTTTTCCTTCACATATTCCATAAATTCAAATTTGAATTAAAGCTCTAATAATATCTCAGATTTGAATTAGAATATATATGGACTTTAATCATGTCTACTACAATATGGAGGACACAAGAACAACGCACCAACGTTATAATTATCTATTAAAATATCGGTTTTTTTTTTACCGTTAATGTAGTTTTTATTTTTGAATAAAAAAATGCATAATTTTTTGATTAAAATATACTTAGTGATAAAGTTGACTGTATATTGTATATAATACCAAATAAACCTAATTTGACTCTAATTCCGAAGGGAGTGAGCTGTCTTGCGCTCTCACTGCACTATATGCCGATAGTACTTCCCGACTGTTCCATGTTTTAAGTTGTAAAATTTTTACGTTTACGTTGACTAACAAAAAGACAATAAAATCCAACAAATACACTTTAGATGGCGCTTCTACTTGTTCTTCCTATATTTTTATACAAATTTCCAAATTTTCAAAAACTAAGCTATATTGACGTTCATATATCCAATTAGAGTTATTCAAAATAGATATCTGTAATATAATGTATTGTCAAATAGAAATGCGTCGAAAATCAGAATCATGTCCTAATTTGTTGTCCTAGAGCAAAGATAATATAAGATCAAATTAACATTAAATCATTCCAACTACAAGATTTTATAGTTTAGTTTCAACAATGCATTATATATCACATTTCAATTATTTAAGCATTAAATTGAAATTTTTATTGTTATATAAACTATAGAAAACTTTTTTGATTTTCAAATGTGTATTTTATCAAAAATTGTATTATCATTTCGATAACCAAATATTTATAGAATGTCAAAACTGAATATAAGAAGATACATAAAAAAAAATAATGACTTGATGTTAAAAGTGGCCTATCAAAATTTAAACAGTGATTGAAATAGAAAAATCTAGAATCACTTTCACTAGACCTACTTTGATGAAAATGCTTTAGAAAAATATACAAAATCGTCTGGATCGCACATGCCATAAATAATTACGAGAGAAATAATTTAGATGACATATTTCTCATATGTCCACCATTACTATTAACTGGTATGTCCGCCACTATTTGTCTAAATCACCTGATTACAATATCAAAGCATCACCAAAGAATTCTTGGTTTCCATGTAAATTCTAAATTTTTCTATCCAATGCTTCTTACGATTTTTTGTGACCCTTAGTTCACTAATCCCATACAATTGTTTGGATCACGATTTCCAGTAAGGATATGTTAAGAAACGTCATCAAGGAAGAATGGAATACTGCAAAGTTGGTTGAGTCCAAGCAAAAATACCTAAAAGAAGTCATTAAACGCAGAGGGGTAAACAGACTATTAAATTCAAGATTTCTGTGAATTTTAATTTAATATAATATTAATTTTAATTTAAATATTAAGAAGTATCTGTAGACTTTTTCTGCTTCAAAATTTGTTGCTTTTGCAAATAAATGTTTAATTTTTTTTAAAGAATAACTATTTTTTTTATAATAACTAATTTTCTAAGTTTAAAATTCATTCTTATTTTTTTGGTTAAAATAAATCAGAAAACAAAAATCGATTTGAGTAAAAATTAAAAAAGTTATGTGAAATTTAAGAAAAGTTTTCTGGGTGAACGCAGATTTTTTCTGCTATATGTATGTATATAAAGATTATAAATTATCTATAATTTATATATATACATACATTACAATTGAATAAGTGTAAATTTAAAAAAAAATGGCAGTTAAAAAAAAACAACCATGTAATAATACATATTTAATTCGATCGCGACAATGAAGTTTTTCCCAGCCAAAATTCCGAGTATTCACATATACATACATGTGCCTATACGCATATAACGGACATAAGAACAGTTTGGAGCGAAAACAAAAAAAAAGCGCGGCTCGTCAAAATTCGCAAATGTGCATTTGCAAGTATTGTTCAGATTTTGGTTTGGTAGCACCTTTATAAATTCAAATCAATACAAAGCAAAGCGATATATACAGTGGGTTAAATTATTTAATGCATACGCAAATTTCATTAGGAATTGTTCTTATGTATTTAAGTAAAGAAATTAAGGAATATATTTTTATATATAAAAGGACAAAAATTAACTGTGATATTTTTGTTTATTCTTAAGTTTGTTTTTATATAATATAAGTTATTATATAAAATATATTTTTTAAAAAAATTACCTAAAGCCTGACAAAATTCAAACACTTATAAGTATTGAGGTGGACACCAATTGGTATTTTCTTTTACATGAATGTTCCAATAGAAAAACTGTTGGTCCTTAAGAATAACTTGGCACCACTGCCTAACCAGTAAACATATGACAAATAAGAAAATTTCAAATGAATTTGTGATTGAATTTCATAAAAAGTTTTTTATATACATATACATATATGGTGAGCATTATATATTCTATGCATACGAATTTATATAAAAGTATACATTTTTTTTTGGCTTTATCTATGATAACGGAGAAAACTAGTGACATACGAAGGATACAATAAGCATTTTGACCAAATATATGAAATATTTGATGGCTTCAGCTCTTTGGAAGAATCTGGTCCGGAAGCCCATGAAAAATGTGTTGACTTCGAGTTAACAATTGAAGACATGCTAAATAAGCAATATTTAACACTGTTTAAATTTTCTTGAAATTGTCTTATAACTGTTTGCTTTTATTTTAATGAATTGTTTTTGTATTTATTCATATATTGCATTTTTGAATGAACACAGAAATGAAAAATTCCTTAATAAATAATTAAGTCATTTTCACAACTTTTATTAAAAATATTACTTTAATAAATTGTTATTTAACACACAAATTTATAAAAATGTTTTTTTTTTTATTAAAAAGAAATAATAAAAAATCACACTTTTTAAATTGTATTAAATATTTGGGTTATATTAATTTTTATACAAAATTATTTATATTACAGATATTTCGATCTACTTCGTAAATCATCTTCAGTGTATAATAAAGAAAGAAGGAAATTACATATTTAAATACATGTTAATAAACATATAAACATATATCCAAAACAAAAAACCAAATTTGACAAATATTTTTGTATTTCAATGTTTAACATTTTTAACGTTTAAATTTATTTAGTCAAAAGCAAAAACATAAATTCAAAAAACAAAATTTGAAATTAAAATCAAAAAAGGAAAGTTTTTTAAATGAACAAACAATGGTGTGCTTATATATGTATATCATCGTCTATATCATGCTTTACATTAATTAGTTACATTTACATATATGTAAATTCAGAAAGAAATATCAACTTTACATAAACTCAACTTATGTTCAAAATATATCTTCATATTTAATTTTATTTGTGTATATAAAATTTAAATTCTAATAAAAATCAAATAAGAAAACATAAATACTCAATGAAATGGAATATAATATATAATATAATACATATATAAAAAAAATTCAGTTTTATTTTATATTTTATATAGGTGCACAATATTATTGGCACTTGCATTTGTTTATATATTTAATATATTGATATTATTAATTGTAAATATTAATTTATACATATTAAAAAACAAAATAGTAAGAAAAATTTTTGAAAATTTGTTATAATTCATTATAGACTTAAAAAAATACATTAATCTCTCTACAATTAATTAATATTTAATTGCAAAAAAAATAACCACTGTAACATACGCATTGCATAAACATACCAATTATGCACAATTGCGCCAAATCCATTTCAGATACTAAAAATTGTGTGTGTTGGCAGCACTGAAACATAATTTTTTACCCTCATCAAAACGAACGAAGAGAAACGACGCCAACTAAAAGTGAAAATTTATTTCGCTTTCAAGTTTCGGTATAGCAAGTTGAGTGCGGAAGTTGATAGTGGCTTTTCGCGATTAATTTTAAAGCATTAATTAAGAATTGAGTACACTAAATAAGCATAATTTTACGGTTTAAATAAAAAGAACGTTGATAAAACTTTTTCAATAGCGATATAAGTAAATATTTTGAAAAAATAAAAATGGATAAAAGAGAAAATGACTCTGACAATAGCGAGTTGGTACCCGCACCAAAGAAACGCGGGCGTCCAGCAAATCCTCATAAAGCGGTAACTAAAAAGCCACCAAGCGGCCGCGGCCGTGGTAGGCCACCCGTAAAAAAGGTCGCTCGTTCTTCTGATGAAGATGGCGGAATAGCCAACGGTGGCGACGTTTCGCCAGCCCCCCGTGGCAGGCCGCGCAAGGATGCAAAAGGACGCGGCCGTCCGAAAAAGGTTGTTACCAACGATGAAGACGATGACGCCGAACAAGATGGCGATGTGCAAAAAAAAGTAAGCAAGAAGGCACCGAAAAAGTCTGCTACAAAAAAAGCCGATAGCGAAGATGAGAGTAAGTAAAAATTTTGTTTTGTTTCTTAATTCGGAATTAAATATTTTGCAATATTTTCTTTGTAGTTTTTTAAATTATTTTTTAATGTGTTATTTAAAAGGCAGCAAAACTTTTTAGTGCAAAAATTAATACAAATTATTAAATTGGTTTAGATTTTTTTTGTCTTTTAATTTTTTTTTTTTTAATCAAAGTTTTTCTTGTGCGAGGGAAACAATAAAAAATTTTTCTTTAGTATTAAACTTTGAAAGCATAATCTATATGTTTTGTGTGTGTGTTAGATATATTCATATGGTATATATATATATTCCGTGATAAATCTATATATGTACAAGTTTATCATATATAACAAGTATATTTATGTCTTATAAATATATAACATATGTATATAAATATATCATTATATTTTATATGATTATTATATACTTACATATATATAAATGTAATATATATATATATATATACAATATGTGTATAAATTTATTAAATATAATATATATAAATAAATTAAATATAATATATATAAATAAATTAAATATAATATATATAAATAAATTAATAATAATTATATAAATAAATAAATTAATATGTATATAAATAATAAATTAAATATAATATATATAAATAAATTAAATATAATATATATAAATAAATTAAATATAATATATATAAATAAATTAAATATAATATGTATAAATAAATTAAATGTAATATATATAAATAAATGATCATGTGTTTTTATTTATTTATATTATATATATATATGTTAGGTATGTAATATATATAAATAAGTATAATATATATATAAATATATGTGTTATATGTAAGATATAGAAATGTATATGTTATGTATAATATATATGCAACATATATGTTTTATATATATATTATAAATAATAATAACATTATACAATAATAAAACAATATAGTATATAAGATATTGTACACAATATACATACGTGCTATATAAATATATACATATGTTATATACATATATGTTCATATATATGATATACTTATACATATGTTCACATATATGATATACTTATACATATGTTCACATATATAATATATTTATATATATGTTCACATTTATAATATATTTATATATATGTACACATGTATAATATATTTATATATATGTTCACATATATAAGATATTTATATATTTGTTCACATATAAAAGATATTAATACATATGTTCACATATATAATATATTTATACATATGTTCACATATATAATATATTTATACATATGTTCACATATATAATATATTTATATATATGTTTACATATATATTTATATATATGTTCACATATATAATATATTTATATATATGTTTACATATATATTTATATATATGTTTACATATATATTTATATATATGTTTACATATATATTTATATATATGTTCACATATATAATATATTTATATATATGTTCACATATATAATATATTTATATATATGTTCACATATATAATATATTTATATATATGTTCACATATATAATATATTTATATATATGTTTACATATATAAAATATTTATATATATGTTCACATATATAATATATTTATATATATGTTCACATATATAATATATTTATATATATGTTCACATATATAATATGTTTATATATATGTTCACATATATAATATATTTATATATATGTTCACATATATAATATATTTATATATATGTTCACATATATAATATATTTATATATATGTTCACATATATAATATATTTATACATATGTTCACATATATAATATATTTATATATATGTTCACATATATAATATATTTATATATGTTCACATTTATAATATATTTATATATATATGTTCACATATATAAGATATTTATATATTTGTTCACATATAAAAGATATTTATACATATGTTCACATATATTATATATTTATACATATGTCCACATATATATATATATATATATATATATAAAGTCAAATTTCCATAACTCGAATTCCATTTTACAAAGAAAAGGTTCTCTCTAAACTAAACCCTGTTGCTCTCATTTTAGTTCGAGTTATGGAAGTTTATCTGTATATTCATACGTATGTATGTAGTATGTAATCAATATTTTTTTTATTGCTCTCTTTTATACTGTTAGTAGATATAGATACTGCAGTAGATATAAAATATATATATTCTTTATTTATGGTTTCTATTTTATTTATAGATGACGACAGTGAAGTCGAATCACGTCCATCTGCACGACCTGCACCAAGCCGTGGACGTCCAAAGAAAGAAGACTCTAAAAAGAAGGTCGAAACACCCAATGGTAAAAAACGCGGTCGTCCATCTAAGAATGGAAAAGAATCAGGTTCTCCAGAGAGTAAGAAGGCAACACCAGCCGATAAAAATGATATGGCTGATGATTTATCAGTAGAGTCTGAGGAGCACGAGTCAATACCAGACTCTGAATAATTTTCAATATTTTTAAAATATTTTAGATTTTAAGTAAAAATAAATAAGTTTAAAATATCATATGTTCTCTAGTTGAGAAAAAATGTAAAATACAAAATGATATAATTAAGTTTAACTACATAACACACATCTGTATGTAAAACTTAAAAATTATTGTAAGAAATATTAAAACAAATAAGACAGACATCACTTGTATGACACCACCCACCATGCGCGCCAGCTTTACAACAACTTGCGGCTTCCTAAAATTTTCAATATAGCTAAAAAATTTTAAACAATGACGGAGGGACCTATAGCATTCCTACGATTTTCATAAATATAATGACTATGATTTTTGTTATGGTATTAGATCTTAAGAAAAAATAATGGTGTGGTATTAAAATTTTTATTTTAATTTTTTTTTTCTTTAATCATTTAAAGGCATTGTTTTTTTTTAAGTAGTAGTGAGTCTGCTTACTCTGCAAACTAATTATAAATTGATTGATGTAAAAAAATACCCTCAAACATTCAAAAAATGTATTAGTATTAGTTTCAATATTAAAACAATTCATGTATTATTGCAAGAATTTCAATAAAATTACATTCAAATAAAAATAACTGATCAGATTGTTATTTATTTCCATAGAAAAGTCATCAATCGGAAACTGCAATGTGAGCAAACTCAGCATTTCGGAAGTGAACCGATATTTTACGCAGATTTCAGGAAATTGTGGGGAGAAATAAGAATTTTGTTGCTTTTTTAAATGTTGATCTACTATTGGACTTCGAAACGAACTTCAGATTTTTTATCCTTCAAGTTTGCTGATAGAACAAGAGGGGTGAGCAAAAAATCGCCTTCACATAAATGCAATAATATTTGTTATTGTTTATATTCATTGTATATGCTTTTGGAGAAGTACTTAAGTACAAGAAATATGTAATCGTTGATGCTGGCGGAATAGATGGCTTCTCATATATTCAGTAATTAAACCAAAAAAGTTTTGGTAAAGTTCGTTTCGAAAGAAATGGATTAGATATAAAACAGAAAAACTTTAAATTTCTATTCTAAGATATATTAGGTCTGTTCTACGAGCTACTCGTAGTAAAACAAAAGTAAAATTTGCACGTTAATTTGCTAGTGGAGTGTTACTCAAAGTTACTACGAATAACTCGTGGAACAGACATATTATGTTGAGGCTAATTGAGTCAGTGCACTTGAGCACTTTTACTCTACATTAACTGCTAGGTTTCTTCATAACCCCTCTCTAGGCCTTGACTGGATTATTGTTTATCACTTCATTAAACTAAGCAATAATTGACCTCAGATCTGTATACCTTACCGAGGAGCCTGTAACCATTCTGAGATTCAAAAACGCGGTGTTGGTAAACCTGTCAGTATTCGTAAATAATTTCAGGGCTCTATCCTTTATGTATTTTCGATCGGATCAATCTTGAGTTCCTTGACGATGTAAGATGTAGTAATTATATATTTTTCTAGTACTTATTTATTTATATTAGATGTAAATACAATCTTAATTATGACAACTTCATGCAGGACATGTCAGCATTGTGAGTAAAGTTAGATGGTTAGACCTAGCACAGTAAACATAAAAGAATTATAAAACGAATATATGGGTTAGGATGAGGTGTATAGGTAGAGAGGAGGTGAAAAAAGGGATTGTGTAAGATTGAGGACGAAAAACACAAGTGTCTTAGCTTCCAGCATAACGTCATACGGCGACAATAAACGAGCTTTTAGGCAAACAACTAATAGAATACGTAGCGTGAATGTCTCTGATTGAGAATATGCTAATATTAGACATAGATAGAATGTCCCGCACCAGTATATACGATTTGGCTCAAATAAAAATTTGTCTCAGACAGTCACAAAGAATGTAAGTAGATGTTGGTTTCTTCTTTCATGTGGGAACAGCATTTTGTCAATTTAGACAAATGCGTCTTGCAATAAATATATAGTAGTTGTAGCTCCACTGAGGTCAACATTTAAATAGGATCATTAAGCCATTAATTGTGTTGATGAGTTATAGCTGCTTCTTAAGAAAATTTACCTGGCTTTGTTTTTCTTTTGATCGGTAATAGTAAATAGTGGTTGTACGCTAGTGGTAACGGGTTAACACCCCTGGAACAAAATAGTAGAAGTAGATTAAATATTATGCACGTAGAAAATTGTTGCTTATCAATAAAGTTAGAAGAATTCAAGCGATTGCACGAAGGTTTGGCTATGTCTGTTTTGTTATACTGCGATCATGAAAGATTTTACTATAAAACAGATACAGATTGCATTGTTTTTCCACTGTCGATCAAATGAAGCACAACTAGAGGAAGAACAAAAGCTGTTTTGTTGATTTTTTTCGGACAAAAGAGAATTTAGTGAAATACGGTTTATTATTTTAACGATAATGTTACCTACAAATTATCTCGTTAAAACAATAAAAGAGTAATATAAGGAGTAATAATTAATAAATTTAAGTTTTCCAATTATGTAAATAAGTAGTTTGTATATTTAAGGTTTTTCAATTGCAAACGGAGTAAGCAACTGTATAATCTAAAATATGTTGGTGTAACCTATATTGTTTTATAACCACTGTGTGGATGTAGATTCTCCAAAAGACATAGAAGACAACTCTGGAACTGTCGATTCTTACTTTGTACCCCCCTTAGATTTCAAACTGTTATTATTGTTTTGAATAAAAATTTAATACTGTTTACAAGAAAAGTTTTTTGGGTACGTCCAGGGCCCCTAATTTCGTTTGTGGTTTTTTGCAAGATATTTTATGCATAATTTAATAAAACCTCAAATTTATTTTTTAGCTTATAAGTATATATACATATATATGTATATGTACTTCAACATTAAAAATGGTAAGAGAGTTCTAAGATATGTCAGCAGAATGCCTTTTGCCCAAGTAGAAACTTGTTAATTGTTTAAAAGTGATTTACAAGCACATTGGTATGCTCTATTGGAATCTTCTGCGTTTATTTATTTTAATTTTAGTGACTCTGATTAAACACATAGATAGATGGCCACTGATATATATATATATATATATATAGGGTATTTGAATGCTGTTTAGTAGGAGATCTTTAGTAGATGTAATTGATCAAGATCCACAAAAAAGAGGGCTTCAAAAGTGTTTAGTTGTCGTCGTGCATGAGCTGGGCAAAGACAGAGCAAATGAGAGGCACTTTTTTCGTTTTGCCCACAGCTGCAACAATTGTGCAACAATAGATTCAATAATCTAGCATTGGTTCCCATCTAGCAGTGACCTGTAAGTAAACCTACAATAAGACTGATCTCTATGAGGTATCTCAATAAGAATATTGGATTTCCTATTAGCGGAAAGTGGCTAGATTGTATACAGATACCTATATATCGTTGCGTCCTCCCATCTTTTATTAAAAAGGGTTAAAATAAATAGATAATGAAAATTATATTGTTAAAAAGAATAAATAATGTAATTCAATAAATGTGAAAGCAAACGTTTTTCCTTTGCTTTTTCGCTTAGGTTAATTGCAAATGTTGGACTGAAAGAAATATAGTAGCAGCAGGTTTATTTACTTTAAAATTAATTAATAAAATTGAGGATAGCTTTAGTTTTGATGACTAAAGAAGTGGTTGATGCTGGTCACCTCAACAGTTATGCTTCTCTTTTTCTTTTCCAAATGTTTTGTTTACAAAATACCGGCAAATATAATAATGCCATTTTGACATATGAGTGAGAGAGAGGGTCATACATATACGAAATATTGACAAACTGTCAAATGAAATAATAAACAGAATACAAATATTTTTTTATATATTTTGCTTGTGTAAATTTAATAATTCCAGATAATTATTTGAAACAATAATATAAATATTCATCAAATATATGCAATAAGACAAGAAAGATGCGTACGAATCGGTTCACATTACAGCAACGTTTATTAATATTGAAAACATTTTATGAATCGAAATTGTCAATGGTGAAGACATTACGAGCTTTAAAATCCAGTGACCTTTTTGCTAAAACAAGTGTACCAAGTATTAATGCAATACGCCAGTTGGTAAAAAAATTTGAGCAAACTGGTCAATTATCAGATATGCCCAGATCAGGACGTTCACGTTCAGCACGCACACAGGAAAATATCAATAAAGTTCGCGAAAGTTTACACAATAAACCTGATATATCGGTTCGATGTCGCGCTCTGGAGTTAGGCATGAATCGCACAACAATGTGCACAATACTCAAAAAGGATCTTAAATGGGAGGGTAACTATGACGATGAAGTGGAGGATAGTGAAGATGTCAGCAATAACAGTGACAATGACAGCGTTGAGTTTGTATTAAATAAAATACAACCACAACAGATTATAAAAAATAACATTGATGACGCTTCCATAATTACTACATCTACAACATTATTGGAACAAGATGATGCAATTAATGGTATATATAATAATAAATATTTCCCAATTTTCTTTTATATTTATATTATTACTTTTCAGAGTTCAATGTCAATGAAATATCACACAATGACAGCTTAGATTGCCAAACGGAGGTGTTACCACCACTTTCAAGTGATTTGCTAGGTGGTGTGAATTACAATAAAGCAATCTCGTATACCCCACTTGATACGGGTAATGATGAAGGTGTATTTGATGTGATATTAGATAATAACAATGATGCATTTAATAATAATGCAATTGATGGTTGTAATAAAAATAAAGAAAGTTAACTATTCCTAGATAAGACCATTCAGAATCTTTAGATTTAAAGTTTACATAAGTAAATTTAATGATAAATATTGATTGAATTGTATCTAACACTACTATACTGTTTTAAGTGATATAACTAAAATTACTAATACATCACGCGATTCGTGTAAATATGGTATTTCATTAATAATAATTAATAATTATATAATTAATGATAACTAATAATTATATTAAAATAATTAGTAATAATTATATTACAATAATTTATAATAATTATTAAAACATATGTGTTAATAATATAAATATATATAGCACACAAATATATTGTATCTTAAAAATTTGTTATTTAGTTAATAGTGGTAACAAAAATTGCTTTTTATTAAAAATATAATTTAAAATCAATTTTGTTTATTATTTTATATACTACTACCTAATAATTGTTTATTTTTGTAATAATAAAACATTGATACAAATTCATTTTTAAAATATCTTTTGGCAGCTATGTTTGTTAAGTTAAACATAAGTATTTTCTATTACTATTATTATTATTTATATTATATGATTTAAAATATATATTGATTATTTATATTACATTATTTTTATTACACACATTGTTTATAATTCTATTACTATTATAATACATATTATTTATATTCTATTACTATTATCTTTCACTACTTTTTTATAACTTAGTAACAAGCAAATTTAAAATTTTTTTTGTAATTATATGTTCCCTACAATTATTATAAACAAACATTTTTTATCAGCTATAATTATACTTTAATTTAAAAATATTATTTTCCAAAGGAATTTTGAAAAACTAGAACTGTTATTATATAATGTTTTAAGTTAAAAAATATTCAACATCTTAAAGCATCGTAAGCATTTTTTCTGAAATATATTATATAATATTCAAGCGTGTATTTTGATTTTTACAAAGTTTAAAGCTTTAATCGGAAAAAATGGGTAAGACTTCAGTGTTAAAACTATTGTCTATTGGTAGCTACTATTTTTTTCTGTCTCCGTACCAGCGTATAGATTTCGTGTCCAAAGAACTCTTCATCTTTCAAGACAATCCCCGAATTGATCCATATTTTGACCTATGCAAATGAAAAAATATAAGTAATAGTATAAGTATTAAAACATACTAAATAGGTAAATAAATAAAATAAATAAGTAATAAATAAATAAGTAAGAAGAAGTAATATGTGCAGAATACGGCGGGTGGGGTAGAATTTTGTATTCTAGCGTTTCCAAGAAGAATTATTATGTTATAAAATAACTTTGCCGTGTCTCTATTTAAGTACAATTGTGATCGATATATAACTAGCCCGTGATGGTGTTATTTGGGTTTAGTAGTTCATAATAGATTACACCTTTCTAGTTGCACCAAATACATAGCATAATCTTGAAATCACGATTATATATTTTTGGCTTTGATATTCCAGCAAACCGAATTTTCCATATCTTTTTCCTTTTTGAGTCTGCCGTAATATATCCACACTTATCACCTGTAATGATAACTAATAGATATTTTTCTTTCAAGGTTTTCCGGCTTCAACTTTTACAATAATTGTACAAACATTCCATGCTTTCTAGCATATATATATATTATGTTATCTGTTATGCATGGTAATGCTGGAAAATTATAAATTAAATTATATATATGACAATTGTTTTTATATATAACACATTTGTTTTTCTTTTATCTGTTACACATGCCCATTACAAATATTGCATACATGTAATAGCATATTTTTTTTGCTTATTTTAACTTTATATATTATAGTTATTTCTTAGTTTGATTTTATTAATTTTATTTTCATTTATATATAATATATATAATATATATCATAATTTGTGTATTTAATGTTATCTTAATTAACATTTGTGTTTTAAAATTTTAAATTTGATTATTTTTAATCACAGAACAATAGACTTCTATTGAAACATAAAATAAAATCTGATATTATTTATGATATATAGTATATTATCAAGTAAAGAAATAAATGAAATTGAATGATTAAATATTTATCGGTTTAACCAATTTATTCTGAATGTTCCCAATATCTACATTATATTACATTACACCATTTTGTATTAGTAATATACATTCATAAAATCGATAAAACTACTTTAATAACCAAAAAATAATTAAAATTTACTTATATACAATACTAAATAACATAATTAATATATAAAACAATTATAACAATATATTAAAAAAATATTATGTGTGTAAAAAGTAATAGAGTAATTTTAATCAAAATGGTACAATATAATGCAACACTGTTTCAATGGAACACTGAAGTGTGAAACAAAAACAATCATCTTAAAGAATATCATGTCGCTCTCAGATCAACTGTCTGTTTTTGCAATGCGGCGTTGAGCATATCGTGTGTGAATGGTGTAAAGAAGGCAATTAGTTTTGTGTTCTTTGTATAATAAATATAATAAAAAATGTTTTAATTAAGTGAATAAATGTAAAATAAATATGCATCTAAAGATTTGTCTTTAGTGTTAACAGAAAAAAAACTTTGTAAATTGTAAGTATATAAAAATTTCAAATAATTAAGTTTAGAATTTGCATAGTAAAGAAAACAAAGAAAAACGAAAGAATCATGTGCAACAAAACTAAAAAAGTATAAAAGCATAACAAAAAAAAATTAAAACAGCGCGCTCTCATACCGCACACGCACTGCAAAAATTTAGAATTAAAATATATATTAAACGATTGTTCAGTAAGTGCATAAAAATATAAGCAAAATTGGTGAAAAATATAAATAAAATCATTGATTGAAAAAATTTCCTACTAGTAAATTAATTTGAAATTGTCGCATGCTCAAGCTATTTTACTCTCCAGCAAACAAATTTTAGAGATGGCACAGAGTTGCAATCTTTATTCTAATTGCTGTGTAATATTTTATTGAAACAAGTACTTTTTTTTAAAAATAATATTAAAATATATTATGTTTCCTAAATGGTAATATGCAGTCCTATATCTAATTTTGAATTTATGTGCAATATAAAAGATAAAATATTGAAATTAACAGTTTTTAATTTTTGATCAGCAGAAGTAAGTTTACTTGTATCTCAATATCGGATTTCATAGTGATTTTCTATATGTTTTAAAAAGTGGGCGTAAAACTATAAAAAATGGGTTGGCCAATCTTGTCTGTCCAATTAGTTGGCTGGTTTTTAGACTTAATTAGTAAATATATTATTTATTTATATCAATTTTAAATACAATATGATTTTGTGTAGCTTCTAAATAACATGTTTCCTAAGTAAATCAACTACACTGCAAACATTGAGTATAAAGTACGCCAACTACGTTTTTATTGATCATTGCTCTTTTCGCCGATTTTCGTACACAATAATAAATTGGCAACTCTTTTGTGTTGGTACACTTTGCCTTAAAAATGTCTGCATAAGGTGCGTTTTCAGCTGTTCTCATCCCTTGTTACCATTTATTTATTGTATATTGTTCATTTTGTGCACTTCATTCTTCGTTTATTTATGTGCAGTAACACTGTAGCGTAGTTGCCATATGAAGCGATATCTGTAATATAAATTAATTGTGTAATTCTGTTCTTAATTTTGTATTAGAATAAGTTCAATTTTTTATTTTGCATAAAACTGTTTTAATTCAAAAGAAAAATGTTAGGGGCTTTAAATCCAAACAGAAAAATTTGCGTTTCGGAAATATGAATTTCATGTATGAGCAGGGTACACGTATAACTACAATAAATAGTTATCATACACGTAAATATTCCTTCATATATTATGTATATTATACCAAACACTAATTATATCTATATAACATATATAATATGTATTGTAAATAAATTCTGTAATATTTACATTTATTAAAGATTTCAATAATTAAAGTAATTAGATTATGATATATAAGTTATTAACTACAAAGGTTTACTTTTTTTAGCACAGATGTTGACTTTACCTAATAAGTTGCGCCCCTTATTTATGTATTAGTAGAAATAACGTACAGCTTTCTTTTCATTCTTTTCATTCTCGTCATTTATCTTAATTTGAAGTTATAATTGATTCTTTGCTATATATGTATGCTTTATAAACTTACTTTGACTATATATTTTACATATGTATTTAAAATAATGGAAAAATGACTTTTAATATTAAAAATAATAAACAATCCTTATTAATTAAATATCATGAAAAAAATGTATTTTAAATATATTCTGCTGTTACTGATAATTTATTGATGCTAATAAAAAAACTGGACAAATTTAAAAGTTGTGGAAAAAAACCAACCATTTAACGATAAAAATTTTGTTGAAGTATGAAAACCTCTGTTTTTTTACAAACCATCTGTAAAAAAACTTGTAGCTGACGAACATGAGGACTTTTAAATATGAATTGAAAATATTTGCAATCAATTTTGAATAACTCACGTCAAGAAATTTCTTATACTTTATATATAATTTATATTCTTTTTCTCAAAATGAGAAACTATATTTGCAATATAACATTACCCCTTCAAAAATTTTTCATATAGAAGTATAGAGGAGTGTTTTGATTTATACTCAGTAAACTTTCGAAATTAAATGAATCACAAAGTTTTTTGTATAAAAATCAATACAATACAATTTGGAGTAATACTGTACAATTTATAATGCAAAACTTTTTGCTATACTTTTAGTGAAATCTAGTAGATTTCTATGTTCTACCAAGTACTACATTGGGTGTATGACATGAATGCTCCAATAAAACAACTTTTGGTGCCTAATACAGTTTGATATATTTAAATTTACTGGAGTTTTCCCGTTTTCTTCCAAAAATCATTCACAATAGATAAATTTTAAGATTTGTTACCATTGTAGTGCGATGTGCTTATTCGTTAAGCGCATTTTGTTTTTGCCTTGCATGTCAATATTTAACCACCAGGTGTTTTATAGGAGCATTTATCAAAGAAATACTCCTACCTATTGTATATATAAAAAAATGGTTATATTTTTTTATAAATTTTTCTTAATATAAAACCATTTTAAAAAATGTTTTAAGACACTTTTATGTGAATTAGATTTTATTAACTTTATTAAAAATTAGAATTTTTCAAAACAATGTTCTAAGTTAAGGTCATGGTTACACTTGTGCCTTCAGATCAAAATCAAATTTTAGTTTATTACAAAAGTCAATTTCGATGCTTGTTCCCTTTTACACATTTAAATTATTTGCTTTGACTATTTTTATTATTTTTTTTTATTGTGTTTTTATTAAATTTAAAATAAACTATATTTTTACATAATTTTTATCATCTGCCACTACTTCATGTAACCCTTAATAAAAATTTATTTGTTTACACAAAAATCAAATTATGTTAGGATGGCAACTCTGAAGCTGCAAATTTTGTGTGCAAAGTAGAAAAAAAAACCGCAATTCCCGACGCAAAAGCAGAAACAGAAACATTTTGTGTGTGTTCTCGCGACGAAGAATTCGATTTCATCCTGTGTAAATAATTGTAATTAAGCACTAACAAAAGCAAATTAATAATAAAATTAAGTTAAAATTGTAAAAAATGTGCAGTATTTAAATTATGTTGTGTAAAGTGTATAAGTTATTTCATATAAAAATAATCTGCTGTAAAAAAGAAAATTAATTGAACACAAAAAGGAATTCCATAAAATTCTTTAAATCGATTCTCCCCTTTTGCAAAAAAATAGTAAAGTAAAGTGCTCATTTTTTATAATAAAAATATTCTCTCGTTTGTTAAAGAGCATAAAATGCAATAAATAATAATAACATTAAATTATATTCATACATAAATCAACAGAGAATTGTTTCATATAATTTTGCGGTGTCAAACCGTGTAAGCCACAAGCGACCGACCGTCAGACAAAAAAAAAATAAGCCGAACACAAGACACTGTCAGACAATGCAGCGGCAGAGTGAGCAGTGCTCATAAAAAGGTAAAAATCAATTAAATTTTGATATATTACCAATAAAAGAATAAGAGTATTCTTCTTGCTAAGTGCAAAATGTAATAATTAATAGAAATGAAGTAAACATAATTTTTTTTTCATTATACCTACCAATTTCCAATAATTTTTCCGGTCAGAAGATTATGTGATGTGTTGTGTTGTGTTATGTTCCTGACAAAAATTTACTCACCGTGCTCCTCCCTCTAATTGTGAATCTTTCTTCAGTGCTCGCAGTATCGTCTCGTGTATATCGAATTTTCTGTTTGTTTTTTTTTCTTTGTGTTTTTTTCTTCTAATAAGACGCCCTCTTATCTAAAAGTAAACAACAACAAAAAGATTTGTTTTCGGTTTTCATAAACATTTTTAAAATCTTTTACATAACTAATATTTTTTATATTATATATATTTCTCAATAATTTATTTAAAAGAATTATTTCTTTTGTGTCTCCTCGATGAACTCTTGTACCCTAAGTTTGCTAAATTTTTTTGTGTGTTTTCTCTCTTCTGCATTATTTTTAATTTTAATTATATTTTATGAATTTGCTGTATATTGTGTATTGTTATTTCTTTATGTACTTTTCTTCCGAACATTTAATATGAATGAAAAATTTTATGCTTTCCTTAAGTTATTTTCTATATTATTATTTTTTTTTTTAATAAATGATGAAATATAAGTGAACATGTGAAATTCTCTCCAAACAAATATTACGTCCGAATTCAAATTGATTTATAATCTTAATCAAAAAAATTTTCATGCAATTATTTTAACATAAAATTGTAAATTAAATAAAAGTTAATAAATAATAAAAAAAAAAATACAAAAAAATTTTTTAAAATCAAAACAAATTTCTTAGATTTAAAATATTTCTTCTTCAGCCAGAATCAGTCAATTGTCAGAATCGTCTAAAATCGTCTAGAAATGAACAGTGGTACTATAAGAGAAATGATTGTATAGCATAGCAGTGTCGTTCATAAGTGAATTATTTATGTTTTCTAATAAACATTAGGTTAGATTGGGTTACTGGGCTCGTCCGAAGACGCACATAGACCATAAGGTCCGTTGTAATACCCTTAAGAATTTGATACCTGTCACTGTAACCATCAAGTACTGACCACAAAGCTATTCACACGCGCTAGGGAAATAGAATTTAGCTCTCTTAATGAATTGAAAAAGTGCGACACTAAGTAGGAGAGTCTAAGTCTTGCGAAAGCAGGACACTGTAACAGAAGGTGTATAGGTGAGTCCTCTCCGTCATCCTCCATGCAATGTTTATAGTGCAAGGAGGTCCTGATATTGAGTATCATGGCATGTCCTAAATTCCTTAGTTTTAATGCAGTTGGTCAATGTTGGCCATCTTTTCCTAAACATTTAGTGTACCTATAATTTTATTCGATGCCGACAGGCTAATTCATCTGCTAAACAGTTGTCTTGGATGTCCCTGTGTCCAAGGTCCCAAATAATCCCTATCTAAAAATATTCAGTCATCACCATGAGTGATGTAAGACAATTCGGTACAAACCTCGAGTTAATGGTCTATAAGTTTAAAGATTTAAATAATAAATATTTATATTGTTCAGAATATAACTGTCTCTTCTTTTATCATATGTTCTGACTGGTATCTGGTCTAAACAATTCAGGTAGCCAGTTCCATTAACGAGAAAGGTATTAATATGGTATTGTCAACTCATCTTATATAACTACAAACCATTATGATCTATTAACATTAAAGATGTTAATATACAGAATTGTTTACAAATTTATTAAATATTTTTAATGCAATTACTTAGTACCTTTTTTTAATTTTTTTTCCCGTGTTTTTAGTAAAGTTAGATAGCACTTTAATTTTTAAATTGTATATCAGTGAAACAAGTATTTGTCTTATTTCTAACCGGGTTTTAGGTCGTTTCTTTTAATAATACCTTAAATAATATAAAAAATTTGTTAATGAAAACCTTTGTTTTAATTTAAAAAAAAAAAAAATTAAAATTTATGTATTTAAAACCGATTTTGCTGTCTTCTTTGTAGACCAACTATCTTCAGTGTTATAATTATATTAACAAGAACAAAAAATATCTACTAGTAAATTAATTATATAGCAAGACAAGTCCCTAAATTCAAAATTTGTTAATAATTCTTTTTTTTAGTTTTATATTATTTTTTCCTTAGTTATGAGGTCATTTTCATTTATACTACAAACCAAAAACTACAGTTTTATTTAGTTATTATAAATCTTATTTAAAATCATTACAGTCTTGAATATTGATGGTCATATTTAGAGGAACTAATTACAACATAAATATGTATAAAACTAATACAAATATACAATATTACATTTTATTACAGCTATAAAATTCAAATAGTTCAGGTAGTTAAATAAATAGTTAAGAACAGCACAACCAAGTAATATTGAACAAGCCTTATGAATAAAGTAATGCAGTTTATGAATTAGTTAATGAACTAGTTCAAAAGCTTGAACTAACAGGCTATTTTATTAATATCACTTTTAAAATTGTTCATTATATACAATGTACGAAATGGAAAAGAAAGTTAAATATTAAACAAATCCAGGTAAAATGCTAAACTAAAAGGAAAAGAAATAAAGATTTATTTACTATAAATTTTTAAATAAATTAATTCATTTTAAAGCGATTTTGTTCATGACAAAGAATCAATTTTGAATAGGAAAGGAAAAATTATGGAGGATTAAAAACTATAAAAATTCATTTTTAATGAAATTCATTTTTGGGGCATGTACTATACAGCTGTTTCAGATATTGCCAACTATATACTATTTATTATCTATTATATATGATAGATATAACTATGTCGTTTCTAATTCTTCTTATATAGTCTTTAGAGTACAAACACCAGGCTTTGTGAATCCTTACAATAAACTACTTCAATGAACTTTTATTCAAGACGATCTGTACATAAAGATGTAAGTTAAGGAAGAATGTATTGCATAGAGGTCTTTATAATTAGTACTGTCATATAAATTATTGAATATCAATAATAAAATTTTGTATCATACAAATATTGTTACTACATATTAAGAATTAGATAATAATACTTATTTTCTTATATATGAAATCATTGCGACCATCACATAATACGTTAAATATTTCTTTTTCTAACTTTTAGGTTTTTTTTAGTGCTGTTAACTGGCATTTTGTTTGTTCATATTTTATTAGTGTTGTTATTGGGCATTTGTGGTGTTATTTCTTCTATTGTATATATTTAATATAAGTAAAGCATTAATATAAATTCAAATAATATTAATTTAACGTTGAGTTTTTTTTTCAACTGCAGTAATGAAATTTAAACTATTCAGTAATAAGAAACGACATGTCAAAACCTGGTTATTTGCTTTAGGAAAGTTCAGAATTTTTTCATTGTCAAAGCTTCAGTTTTCAGCATTTCTGTTTTGCTTCTTCTGTTGCTAATCTGCAAATTTATTATTATATTAATTAATTTTAAAATTAAATTTTAATTATTTTAATTATAAAAATAGCACCAAATTGCGTTCGTAATAAAATAATAACTTATAATATAATAAAATATATTTAAATATATTATAAATTTTTAATATATTAAATATATAATCAACTACTTTTATAATAATAATATATTTAATATTGTTTATTACAATAATAAATAATTCTCATTATCTTTCGAAAAACTGATGATATTTTAAAGGAAGTTGTAGTAACATATTGTATGCATTTTATAATAATGTATAAAAAAGCATGTAAATATTCTTATAAAAATTAAATAAATAATAATAAACAATAAATAGTAAAATAAAAATTAACTTTAACCATTTTTCTTTTTCTTTACAGTGTATATTCATCAACTTGTAAAAAATAATCATCATTTAATTATTAGTAATCATTTTTGTATTATAATAAAATAAATTTTGTGTGAAAAATCTCGCAAAATACATAATTTCTCGTTGAAGAAGGTTTCTTACTCAGTTTCAAAACAAAAATAAGAAATTTATTCGAAGAAAAATTATAACAAATCGTTCGTTTTATGTAGTATAAAAATCCCGCGTACGTGTCGTCCTTAAATTTCGATTTGTTCGTTCTGTAAATTTGATGTAGTTATACACAAAAAAAAAAAAATATATATATATGTATATTGTCGCGATTCTATGAAAACATAAATACAAAAATTGTATCTGCTTTGTTTAAAAATAATAATTTAAATAAAAAAGTTAAAATTAAAAAGGTTTTACTAGTTGTAAAATCAAGCGAATTCAAATACAAAAAAGAATTCGTAATATATTTTAAATTAAAATAAAAGTTTAATAAAAACCGCCAAAATAGAGCTGTTACCAACGCCGACTATTTCCATTTCCACGGTTGCGCCGCCAACGCCATCGCCCCACCACTCTCCCTTCTATCAGTTACAACATAATTTCTTGCTGAACTCGTCGTTTCAGCAGTATCAACAGCAGGAACAACAACAACAGCAGCAACACATGAAGTTATTGGGTGGTAACGATGATCGTAATGGGCGCGGCGATCAAACTGTACCGCGTGTACAGGAGGATGCAGCCGTTGGATATGTTTTCCAACGTCCATCGCCTGGCGCACCCGGCTCATCTGCCCATGATGCTGTAGCTGCTGAATATGCAGCGCAATTCGCGCAGAAGCAAGCACGTTGGGCTTGCGGCGATGAGCATTCAATCGATGTAAGTACTCAAATTATTTGCAATATTATTATTGAATAAAAATAGTCTATAAAAAAGTCTCTAAATGAATGATTGTGATAAGTCCTTAAATTTGGAAAGTTGGCATATCTAAAGAATAGACTACAATTTTAGGCGTGCAGAGAGGACGATATTTACAGAAATAAACCCAGGGAATAGTTTCTCAATAGTTTGATTTCAAAATTTTATTTTATTTTTATTTTAAAAATGTGTTAAAGGAAAACCCTATTGTTGCATCATTTTAGAATTAACAAAAAAAGAGATAAAAATTATATGCACAATAAATAACAATTTACAAAATTAATAAATAATTAAACCAAAAAATTAGGTAAAAATTTATTTAAATAATATTGATAGTTTTGTGGGTGTTTAGACCAAATTTTTGTCCTGTAACCAAAGGTGTTACTATAGATTATTTACATTGCATTTTATGCTTTAATTGTACATTATCATGAAGTAATCATTAATTACTATTTACTCTTCATTAAATACAATTAATTTATTATAACCCGACATAAGCTTAAGTTTTTTTATACAACTATTATTTAATATATAATAAAGCTTTGTTTAATATTTTATAAATTTTATTAATCAGAAATATTTTGGTCAACCTCTTAGATTATATGATTACTTTATTAGCGTGTTCAAACCTTCAGTTAGCTACTAATTGAAGCTTTGTCACTGTCATGATCTCATAACCATACACTGAGGACAAACCCATGCCCTCAGTGTATTGTCAAATGACAATATCTGGACACAGGGTTAAGGTATGCCATCAAATAGATTATAATCTATATGGCTAAAAACACATCTTCAATCTCTCGTATCTCCGGTGACTAGTCATCACCGACTCCAGATATTGTCCTTACGCAATAAGCTGAGGGCATGGGTTATAGAACCATGAAAATGGTTATGGAGCTATGACAGTGAGAAAGCTCTAGTTAAAAGGTAATTGGGTAATCAAAAGGTAATCAATTAAAGTTAGTTTGATCAACTTCTATCCAGAATGTGGGATTCATTGTTATATTTGAAATTAAATATTATCTTCTGCTTTAATATGTAACATTGGGGTTTTTGCTAAAAGTGTTAAATTAAAGTTAAGTAAAATTAAAATAAAGTAAAAAGCGTTAAATTAAAAAATCAATAAAAATTTCCGATTCTTTAGTGAGTATAACTCTTGAGTAATATTTCTAAATGACGGCGTATGTTTAATCATACCAAACTTTTTAATATATTGTAGTATATTAGATGGAACAGTGCTGTAGTATTTTGCACTAAATATGGAGCAATCGGAATAAAATTTGTGACGTATATTTTGCTATCGGCGATAAATTATATGTTATTTTCATTGCTATTTATCAGCGAGATTATCCGATAAGAGCTGAAAATTTTCATCACTAATATATTGAGAATCCGATTTTAGTCAGTCTGACTAATGTTCAGGTCTCGTAACCAAAAACTATATTTGCAAAACCTGTACGTATACATAACTGAAAGATTCATTTGCATTAAATGAACCATAAGACAGATTGATTGAAACAGGTCTTCATTATCACTTTTTAACATTATGTGCGTGAAGAAGAATATAAAGAGTAATGAAACTTTCTTAAATGCAGTCAAACTTCCATGACTCGAAGTCCAATTTTGCAAAGCAAAGGTTCGACTTATGGAGACTTCGAGTTAGAGAATTTTTTTATTTTTTTTTATTTTTGAAAGAAACTAGAATTACATTTTAAAATATGTATTTATTTATTTGCAATCAAATAAAGTACAGAAGTTATACTAAAGTGAAATATTCAGAAATTAGGGTTTGGGACTTAATTTTTTTTTCTTATTTTCAGTAAAAAGAGATTCATACTCTTGTAGTGATCATCAGGTTTAGTATCATTCTTTTGCAAATATAAATTCAGAATTTTGAATGAGTCTTCTACTTTATTCTTGGAACGCTGATGAACAATTACATCCACCGAACTCTCATCATCACTTTCCGTTGCGCTTAGAGTTGGATCCAGTAATTTAGAACTATAGTGCTCAATAATATCGTCATCTGCAGGATAGCTTGATGTACAAATTTCATTGTCAAGTTCAATATAATCATTAAGAGTAGCATTGGAAGTTGTTTTTAAATCACGCTGCCACCGACTGACTTTTAAACAAAGAAGCAACATAAAAAAGAAAAAATTAAACATTTTGGAAAAAGTTTTGGAAAAAGGGACTTTCCCTATCAGCAAAATGCATTTATTCTTAAAACAAAAATTCAACTTATAGAATGCACTTTCCCATATTTCTACCGGCACAGAACAAAATTTTTGTTTGAGTTGTAGACAAATTCGATTTATAGAAGTTCGAGTTATGGAAGCAGAATTGTATGTAATTTGTTCTCTAAAACCTTGGTGCACTGTTCTTGGTTGAAGTTATAGAAAATTCGAGTTATAGAAGTTCGAGTTATGGAAGTTTGACTGTACCTTGTACTTTCTTGTCACAGTTACTTTAAATATTATCTTATAATTAATTATAGCAATAACAATAAAATTTAACAATATATTCAATAATACGTCCATTTCAAAATATAATTTTTTATTATTACACATTACAAAATTATAAGATTTTCTTTGTAGAAGTTATGAAACTCTTTGATCAACTCTTTGAGTTTAGCTAAGAACACATTTGGAGTCTATTAGATTCTCGTGTGTACGTTTATATTGAATTTCTAACGGAAGCTTTAAACTATTACAATTAAAAATTATTAGCAGATAATAAATATGAATTAATACTGAAACATCGATACTAATAAGTGTAGTTGCAAATGTTTCAGCAAGTGTTATTATTTTCTTAAATATACTGATGTACAAATATATATCAGTTTGGTTAACTTTTAGAATTTTTCTATAAATTTCTACTCGAGCTTTAGACAATATTTATCTTTGATCTATCAATTTTCAATTTTCAATTCAACATTTATTTACTTCTGCTTCTGAACTTATAGTTTTAACAGAAGGAGGTTTGATGTATACTTATTATTAATTAAATTAAACTTATTACTAATTAGGTTTAAAAAGTAAGCGATAAAAACAAAAAAGTTAAGTTAAATAAATAGTAGGGAAATAATTATAATTATATATGCATATATATCTACAAAAAAAATTTTGCTAAATCTTATTCGTTTATAATAAATGATCTGATTTTAAGACTATTTAATATATATGTGAATATTGCTTTAGATGATTGCGGATCATTGCAGTTGAAAATTAGAGATTTATTGTCTCTGAAGACTGTAAGTAAGAAACTAAGATGGTGATCTTGTACTGAGGAGTAAATAGGGCACTCAAACATAAAGTGATTCAATGTTTCTTCAGTTTGTCAATTACAATCTTTGATCTATTGATACATTCCCGATATTTCAACTAGACCATCGGTTATTTCCTTTCTATATTATATATATATTTAGTACAGTAGTTTGCTTCCACCGAATATAAGATTTGTTCCTTAATATAACGTACCATAGATAGAGTTATTACTATTTGATTTATATATAAATGAGAAAATATTAAAAATGCTATTTTATTTTATAATTTGATTTTTTTATATGAGTGTATGATCAAAAAATAGGGTTAACACTATATCGATAATTAGTATAATTTTAGTTTAAAGAAAATAGGGGAAAAAAAAAATATTGATGACAATATAACAGGGACCGTAACAGTTATCATAAAAAAAATAAAAATCATCTTATAACTGTTATCATATGCATTTTAAAATAAAACTCAAAAAATAATAATTAAATTTGATTTTTATTATATTCATCAAAAATAATAATTATTATATGCCTTTTATTTATTTTCGCGCAGAAATAACTCTTAAAATTTGCTTCTTATTTTAAAACGCAGAAATAACTGGTATACTTGCGTTATATAATATAAAAAGCAAGAGTATCGCGCAAATTCTGCGCGATATTTTTAAAATGAAAATATAAAATGCAATTTTCATACAAGGTAGTTGTTTTTGCAATTCCATAGAAAATGTTTGAAAAGGTTGGTGCAGGTAAAGATTTAGTTCAGTTTTTTGTTTTTGTATTTTGGATTCATATTTTGTATTTATCTTTGTATTTTATAGGAGAACAAATTTGTATGCAAAATACAAAAACAAAAATCTAAACTAAATCTTTACCTGCACCAACCTTTTCAAACATTTTCTATGGAATTGCAAAAACAACTACCTTGTATGAAAATTGCATTTTATATTTTCATTTTAAAAATATCGCGCAGAATTTGCGCGATACTCTTGCTTTTTATATTATATAACGCAAGTATACCAGTTATTTGTGCGTTTTAAAATAAGAAGCAAATTTTAAGAGTTATTTCTGCGCGAAAAAAATAAAAGGCATATAATAATTATTATTTTTGATGAATATAATAAAAATCAAATTTAATTATTATTTTTTGAGTTTTATTTTAAAAAGCTCATATATAAAAAGCATGCATAATATTAAGGATAAAAGTTGTTAGAATGATAACTATTTACTTAAATAAGAGTTTAGACAACTTTTTGTTGCTGCTTTTTTTCATAAAAAATTTTAAAATAACTGTTATTTTCGGTCCCTGCAATATAATTATTGTATATTGACTTATTGATTTATTAACATATACTTATAATTTACTGATATTTTATACGATACCGTCATCTCTTTTAATTATTGCAGTTGTAGAATTCAAAATGTTTTTGATTCTGTTATCAATGTTAGGTTAAGATCCTACGATGTTAGGTTAAGAATACAAGCCAATAGACAGTCTTGTATTCTCTATCATGAATGATTCAAGTTAGTCCAATTTAACCATAGTAAATTTAGTAAGTTTCAGATTTTCAGAAACAGATTTAAATATCGTTTTTTCATGTAAGAGTTTATTATTATTTGTTTAATATTTTTAATTCTGAGTGATACTATAGCACCTAAGTAGTATATTGATTTATTTATACTAAAAAGAATATAAAATAAAATTAAATAAAATATTAATTACATTATATTAATTGCACATATCATTATGTTTTTTTAGAACCCTGATAAGTGGAAATATAATCCTCCAATGAATCCATCAAATGCTGCACCTGGTGGGCCAGGTGGACCTGGTACTATAGGCCCAATTGGCATGGGTGCTGGTATAGCCAGTATTGGAACTAATGGTGGCTTACATCCATCAATGGGCGGCCCAACACAAATGGGTAATTCACCAGCTGCTAGTATGGCTGCAATGCAACAAGCTGCTGCTGTTGCCAAACATAATCAAATTTTGAATCAAGCTGCCGCAGTTGCTGCCGCTCAACAGCAACATCAACAACAACAGCAACAACAACAGCAGCAGCAACAACAACAGCAACAACCACCACATCCAGCACATCAACAACAACAACATGGCGGACATGGACCACATCCAAGTCAAATGCCATCACATCAATTCAATTCAAATCTACTTAATCATGCTATGAATAATCCAGCAGCTGCTGCTGCAGCCGCAATGTCTGCTATGCCGCATATGCAATTACCAGCTATGCAAGCCGGTAACATTTACGACCATCCTGGTTTACATCCAGGTGTCGGCATGAATGGTGTGCCTAAACCACCGCCACCAGGACAACCAGGACCAGGCGAATTAGTATATTTAGGTGGACAACCACATCCAATGGGCATGTTGCCACAAAATCAATTTATGAGTAATGCCGCAGCGGCTGCAGCAGCCGCAAATCGTAATGCAGCAGCGGTAAGTGTTAGAATATTATTTATTTTTTATTAGATTACTTAGTTCGTATTCCATTCGAAGAACACAACCTCCTAAATGTATATATTTATATATACATTGATTGATTGATAATATTGTTAACAGATTGAATAAGAATTTTCATGTAATATACAAAAACCCTGTTGCTGCTTTCCAGTAAAAGTAAATAATATCAGTTTATGCCGCTCTTCTATAAACAGAAGTGTCATATGTACCTATATTGTAATTATAAATGCGATATTTCACTGTTTTGATATTGTGATTAATTTGCGATAACAGCGCAATTGATATTGATTGATTTCTTTCTTGTCAGATTGGCGTTTACTTCTTTTTTATTGATTGACAATTGGTTTAAGCGCGTATTTCATTCTGTAGGGTCTTTATCTTTTAATGATTGGTTTCTCATTTTAATGTAAAATGAAATTTAATGTAAACATAGATTTTATAATTGCTTAGACAATTTTTTACTTCGAAAACCATATTATCTGAGCGCAGTAAAGTCGTAAATTTTTAATTGTACACTATTAAATTTGCATGCTGACATGCATTATTAATGTGTGAAACTATAAATAAATATCTTATTATAGATTTTAAAACAATAAACAGCTTTTAAATATAATAGCCGTGTTAATTAATTGTTTATTGATTTTTTCGCTCATATAAATAATTGTTAGAGCGACGATTTTTCATTTTGTTTAAAGTTCTTTGTGTTGTCGATAATACTCCAAAAAAAATATATTAAAATATTTATAAATATAAAAGTATTAGACAGGGTTCGTATTTGCTCACTCATGAGCAGCTCAGGCTCATGAGCAAGAGCCAATTCTTATGTGAGTCCAAAATTGGCTCATATTGAAGAGCTGCTCACCAGCGTGAGCCTTCAAGTTGCTCATATTGAAGAGCTGCTCATGAGGTCTCACGAGCTCAACTGTTTAATAAAAAGCGATTTATTAGTTTATTTACTTTATTTATTTTTATAAACGTTATATGTGAAAATATATAAATTCATATTAAAACAATATAATGAAACAATAATTTGAATTTGAAAAACAAATTTATAAAATATTATTTTCCACAAATAAACAATAAATTTTTATTGTTTATTTCCATATTTTAGTTAGTTTAAGGTTATTAATATTTTTAATATTTTTTAATGACATGTTTTCACAAAATGACATGGGCGCATGAGATCTCATGAGCCGCAGCTCATACTCTTGCTCACGAGCGTGAGCCCATTTATAACTTAATGGCGGCTCTTGCTCGTGAGCGTGAGCTCTGTAGTTGGGCTCGCTCGTGAGCGTGAGCCATCGTATGAAAAGTGTTTTTTGCCGGTTCATGAGCCGTGATCAGAATGAGCCGAAATGAGGCGCTCATGGGTACGCAAATACGAACTCTGGTATTAGAGAATCGAATACAACCTACTTGGCAAATCTTACCTAATGTTAATAGAAATAATGTATATTTTTCTATTACGTATTTCGCTTATAAAATGGTAATTTGTTATATGATATACAGAAATAAAAATCAATTAAATGTCCTTTTTTTGATTGTTTTATATATATTAATCAAAGTATAAAAAAAAGCTAACGTAAAATTAAATTTTTAACGCTAGTGTTGTAGTCGATTCATTTATTAACACCCAACTTCTTTTTCTCCAAAGAACTACAATATAATAGATAATAATTAAAGGGATGTACGACCAACAGGGACAGAGCCCTGAAATTATATGCGAAAATTGACAGGCTATCCTACTTACCACAATCTAATCTTAGAGTAACCACTCTCCGCACGGGGAGGTACGCAGATCTTAGATCAATCACTGAATAATCATGAAGCTTATAGACAATACTTAAATTAGTCAATGAGATGGGTGGGACCCTGTAGTACCCCCAGCTATCAAAGAGTGCCCAGTTGCGCTGACTCGAAAAAAGGATCAACATACTACGACCAACATGCCCTAATTATGGATATATTCATTCTAACCATGAGCCATCTCATAAACTGCTAAAATAACCCAACCAACGACATTAGCCTTTTCAAAGCTATCAAAAATATCGTCTACTATATAATAAAGCTACACCTACTCAAAGACATATTAAATAAAATTTAAATATAGTTCTTAACATAAATATAAGCACAGTGTGAGGTCACAGAATACAAACTACAAGCTGTGTATGCATACCTGTTAAATTTGATTCACGGACCATTTTTAACCATCTCGCGTACCTCCGGTTGGGAACCATTGAGTTGGGTAGACACGCCAGAAAAACGTTTCCGATTTTCGCAACTAAAAAAACGCAGAGTTTATAAATAAAATCTATTAACTAATATAATTTTCTTTACTTTATACATTTTCTAGAGTCTCTAACAAGGACAATATAATCTAATAAAGTTTTAGTGGTGCGGCAAGGAGGTGGTTAAGTAAGGTTGTTAACTCACTTAGATCCTGCGGTCCAATGTGATATCATTTCTTAACACTAAAACTCAACTGTTTGCAAATTTTAGAACTCTTTTAAAGCCGCAATATATAGCTGAATGGTTTTAATTTTAGTGCTAGATAATTCAGTAAGATAACTAAATGGCTTTTGGGTGGTGCTAGGCAGGTGTATATATATTTAGTTTATGATTTAAAAAAAAATTGAATTTGCATGTTTGTTGAAATTATGGTCTAATTAAAGGAATATGATTCTAAACATATTAGGCGCTCTGTAAAAGCTTATAATAGATATTATTAAATGGTAAATAAGTTTTCAAAAATTCAGGACAATTATTGCATTAGACAAAAAAATGAGACAAAAGATGTTGAAAACCGTGTTGCCATTATATCTATTGATTAGTATGGTTTTATTATTAGATGGTGTGTATAATTGTGTATAACTGTCATTGCAATTATGTCAGCAAGACTTTCAATGGGACTTCGGCCAAACAATGAAACACAATCCAACAATTTACTCTATTGATGGCACCAATGAATTTATCGCGACATTATTAGCAATCGTATTTAGAACACCGTAGTTGCGAATCCAGCATTAAATAGAGATAAGTTGTTAAACAGTGAAATTCCCTCTTTTCTCGTAATAATCAACTAATTTGTAATTATTTACAAATTTGCTATGACTTATAAGTATTAGTTAATAAATTTGTGTTTTTGTAGAAAAAAACAGTAGGTAGCTCCCTTCAAAGGATGATCAAAAAAATATTTGTTGGAGAACATGCTTATATTTAAGAGTTTAAAATAATAATATACCTTGTGCAAGATAGTGGAGATTTTTTTTAGGCATTCTTTGATAATCTATCAATACTAAAATAGGACTCCTAATAGTGCTAGTGTCATTAGATTTATTTGAAAATAACAGAAATATTATAATTTTTTAAAAGTTTTCTCATATTTTTTTTTGTAGTCATCTACGTTTAAAGGTTCTAGGCTATTTAGGTTAAAGTACCGTTAATTGAACAATAAATACATATATTCACCAATATTGTTTAGGAAGGGAATTGCTTCTTCTTTTCTGGTATTCTTCCGCAATTTATTAAATAGTTTTTTCTTTCTCTATACTGATTTTAAATTAACAATATTAAGTGAAAACGTAAAACATTTGCTTGCAATTTCATATTGAAGTTTTGTTTGAGGTTTCTTTACTTCTTTAAAGCATATTACATTCAATCAAAGATCGTTTGCAGTTATCACGTAATGCAATTCCGTATGCAACTTCACTCTTGTAGTCTAAAAACAATGTAATTCCTTTGGCAAGATTTATGTATCGTATGTGTTTAGTTGCAATTAAAATGCAGAACAGCGGTTCTTCGCGAATTAAAAAATTCCAGTATCGTGATGTGCAAGACAAATGTGGTTAAAAAATATATTTAATTTTGGTATATGTATAATAAAAGTCACACAATTATAAAAATATATATAAATTGTAATTATACTTATCCAAAGAAATTTTCTTATGTCGTGATTGAGTTCTAATTACCATGTTAAAGAAGTTTAATAATTTCATATTTATATAGTACATTATAAAAAATAAAGTAGGAAATTTTAAAACATATATAAGTGTTGCATTAAATATATACTTTCAAAACTTTTCATTCAAAGTGCTTTAGCAATGATCTTTACTCCTTGCTAATAAATAGAAATACTACTATTTGACAATGTTAATGAAATTGTGATCAGGTTTTTTCACGAGTAAAATTCGAAACGTTTTCCTCAATAAAATTAAAAAACTTAAAATATTTGTCTTTTGAATTTTGATTTTCAATCTCAATAAATGCATAGCCAACTGGGTCGCCACAGTGCTATCCAACTGGATGTGATAGATAGCGAGATCGTCATAGATAGATAGCGAGGTTGCACCCCACTTACGCTTGAGACCATTTATTTGATAGAATTTATACTGTTTTTAACATCAATAAAATACGTCCATGTTTTGAATACCTTTTTTTCTCTAGTTTCCAGATTTTCAACTTTACGCTTGTTTCAGTGTTGTTTCTTTCTGACTCTGACTCTATAAAAAAGATCAAAAAATTATTTTAAATTCTTCTGATTTTGCTATTTTCCATTTTGACATTCTTGTTCCTCATCAAGTAATTTGCAAAACACATAAGTGGATATATGATGAATTCGCAAATAAACCTAGGTCTGAGTGCAAGAATTTTCTACCTGCAATAATTTCAGAAACTATTCGTTAATATTGACGATGTGGAGTTGCTCAGACATTCAGTTGGAGTTTTGATATATACCAACAGATTCTAAAACATGTATACTTTGATTTCTCATAAAAATCCTGTTGTGAAAGAAGTTATCAACTATTGTAAAACTGACTTTGATAATAGTGAAAAGCGTTAACTGTATAAAATTTTGCAATATATTCTTCTATGCAATATACACACATCTAGATGATATATAAAGTAAATAATAATTTTTTGTTTATTTAGAATATATTTTATTACATATTTATTTATAAAGATAAAGAACTGGTTTACACTGAATCTTTGATAGTTCTGAATTTTAATAATTTTATTTTCCCTCTTCAACTTCTTAACCGTCCACTGAAATATTAAATAAAATAGTATTGTTAAGAGTTTGTAATGCTTCCAAAAAAATATATAAAATATATATTAACATTCTTTTTAAACATTGCGTCTTACTATATACTTGTACCATGTATTTAAAACAATAAATTATTTATTATATATCTATCTAGTATTAAGTTTAGAGAACTATCAAACATTACGAAAATTTATGAAGTCATAAATTGAAAATATTTTATATCGATTTTGAAAATAATCTTTATTAATTTTACAAATTTATTGCAAGTTAGATTTTGAAAGAGCTTGCATAGACGGATTATTTTTCAATCATATTCTTTAGTTATTTGCAACTACTACAGCGATTTGGTACATTGATATGAAGACTTATTGGCTATATTTTTTTTTACTGATTACGAAGATATTATAGATCTATTGTCCATTGTGAGACTATGTTAAATCTTTATAACCCCAGTTTACTGTAAAAATTTTTTGAAATGGTTCCTATTTGAAACATAGAAATTATTGTTCTACGTTTTGTTAAAATAGAAAGTCGAATAGATACTTAAGAAAATTCAAATCGTTTTGCTTTTGGCTTACACACAAAGCTGTTAAATGTTTTAATTTAACACATATATATATAAATATATATATATGAAATCCATTTTTAAAATTTTTCTCTTATATGTTTTATTATTAAGACATAATTCTCTTATGCAAATTTAGTACAACGTTATTCCTTGCAGTTTTTTATTTCCCTTTAAGCTTTTTTAATAAATTGAATCATAAAACGTTCCATCATTATTTTAGACACATTCTACTAATCTTATCTACAGTATGAAATAAAAACAAAAAAAAATATATAAATAAATGTTCCATTAATTCCCTGCAATTTTAGGAACTTCATTGTCTAATAACTTTTTAGCCTTTTAACTTAGGTTCCTTCCTTACCCTTTCTATCCATAACTATATATTATCTTCTTTTTAGTAATGACTTTATACTTTTTAGTTTTTTTTGTACCGAAATTATTCTCTTATTCCTCCAGCTGGTTCTTACTTTTTCACAATTTCTGCTTTCATTGTAGGGATGTCGTAGGTCATTGATTGCTGCAGTTTGTTGTTGCCGATATTTTGTTTTGTCTCTGCGGGCTCTATTCGGTTCTGTTCTGTATGTTGTGTTGTGTCTGTAGTCGGTGCAGTTTTATTAGCAACGATTGCTCTTATTGTTGTTATTGTTTTTTTTGTGGTTGTTGTATGAACTGTGTTTTCGTATGTTGTGTTTTGTGCTGACTATAAATTTCACTATGTGGCTTCTGCCTTTTTTAGCTTTAAATAAACATAACATAGATAAATACCACGACAAATGTAAAAGTACGTATATACATGTGCATAGATACATACCTACTTTTTGCCCTTTTTCTCTCATGTGCACACAAATTGTTGTGTTACATATATATCTTCAATTTTTTTTTATATTACTTTGAGGTAAATATACTGACGATTGCTGCTAGTGCAACGAGTAATACTTCGAAATTTTTTTTCACTAAATCTCATGCGGTGCTGTATCTTTGCTTTGCTTTGCCTTGCCATGCCTGTCTGTCGTTACTATTCCACAATTTTAGTCTAGTTCTTCTGCTTTAGCTGCTGCATTTATCCATGTTCTTTCCATGATATTTTATTTTACAATCTTTTTCAATACACAACAGTAGTGTGTTTCGTGTTTATGAGCGGCGTACTAATTAGGCAAGGAAAAATGGATAAATTTAGAATTGCAGAGCAATTTTCTTTGCATTGCAGTTTTTCTTTCATTTTTTTTTTCGTTTTCCCTTTTTATAAATTCTTTTTTGCAAATGTGGCAAAAATTTATTCAAAATATATAATTGTTGTTGACTTCTTTATAATGTTGCAAATTTATATTTAACTCGCTATTCTAAAAGAATTGGATATTATTACATTAAAAAAATAAAAAAAATTGAGCATATGTTGTAATAGTATATAAAGAATACATGCATTTATATATAATTATTTTTTTTTATTTCATTGTGACTATTTAAGTTCTTAAAATCGTGTAGGATATTTGAAAAGTTTTGGGAAACAAATGCGTCACGTCAAAAATATTGTTTTGTTGTTGTTGTTGTGATTTGCTATTGCGCACCTTTACTCTATTGTGGCTGGGGGGCTTATCCCTACCCCACACAAAACTTTTACTATACTAGAATCATTATCATTTATTTATTTATTAATTATTGTTTTATTTTTTATACAATGCTTTTAAATGTTAACATAAAAATTTCAGCTACTTTTTACTTTTAAGATTATTTTTAATAATTCTATTTAATAGCCCGACTTCAAGTGTTTAAGATAAGTGTGGGAAACAAGTATCGCACTGTAGTGACATTATTTTACCTAAAAAAAAAAATAAATTTATTAAAAAAAATTTATATTAATTAAAAAATAATTTTTAATTAAATACATGATTTAAATAAAGTTTAAAGCAGTCTTTCCTATAATTTGTAATAGTAGAAAAACTGAATAAGCTGGCGTGATCTTCCAGGTTAGGTAATGAAGGTATTTTGAGGGGTCGTCACCTTGTTGTCAACTGCCTAAAACATTGAATGAGGCATTATTAAATGGTATTGAATATCAGTGGCGTCGCTAGGCGTCAGCGATGTCGGCGACCGCCGACGGCCTCGCGCCCGCAGGGGCCTCGCAAAAAGTTACCGACAGTGGATTCTAAGCACTTAATAAATATTTTGAACAATGTGGTTTGATAGTGGCATTAACCATATTTGAAGTATTCCCGAATGTTTATATAGTAAACGAATTCACGTTCACAGTTCCAGTCAGTATAGCTTCGACGGAAAGAAGCTACTCGAAGTTAAAAGACGTGATTAAGACGTACTAGAAAAGTATGAAGATCCAAGAGAGACTATCTCCATTGGAAATTCTATAAACTGAAGCAAAAATAGGAGCTGGCGCAAATTATGATATAATTTTAAAAAAAATTGAGTGAGGCTAAAAGTAGGAATATTCATTTATTTTAATTTGATTAGCAATAAAACTTTCAACAATGTGACTTGAAAGTTTACAACTGGGTTATAAAGGGGGCCTCGCAATTCTGTGTCGCCGACGTGCAGAGTTGGTCTAGCTCCGCCACTGTTGAATATTATATGATCATGTAATAAAAATATTTAATAAATATTTTGGTATAGAATTACAAGGAATGTGGAATCAGAAAGGCTTAGGATTAGTTACCAACTTGACCTCTGTCAGATCGATAAGAATAGAGGCCTAAAAACTTTTAAAACTTTTTTCGGCCAATAATGAACACCGACACATCAGTTGGACTTTAGTTACTTTTTCATCCGCAGCGTCACAATCATGACAAAAGTCATTGTAGGATAAATCGAGTCTCATAGCATGTCTTTCGAGTAACGCAGTGACTCGTCAGCACTGATACTGTATTGCTGAACATGCTGAACGCCTTATTTGAAGCAGTTGACTGGTGTATTTCTTGTATAATTTGACCAAGGTTGAGGTTGAGATATGATAGAAAATTTTACTTCTTTATACAATTATTTATCAGCTAGAAGATAAATATATATATAAATATATATAGATATGTATGCTATGTTGTTAATATAAATGTAGCAGATATATGTCTGCTAACTGATAAATAATTTTATAAATAAATAATTAACTAGATGATAAAAAAAACAAACAGAAAATCTTACTACCCAATCAAGAAGAGTAGACCCTACTTTAATTTCACCTATCGACATATAATGTTTTTATAAACACTATATATTTCGATCAAGATCTCAGTTTTATTTTATTGCATAATACAAAACAAATACACTTTGTATAATTAAGGTTATATTGGTATTTTCTTATTATTAGCCAAACCTTAACGGAAGTACATACTTGTGGTCTTTTCTAGTGTCTATTATCTTTTGGTTTGCATTTTAGGATATATTTTCGTAGATCTTTCGTATAATATGCCTTACCAAACTGCATTTCGAATGTCATATTTAAATCTTGATGCCGTCTTGTAAAAGTAGTTCTGCTGTGGCTAATAAATTTGAAAATATTACAAAGACATCTGTTGTAGAAACTGTAAAGTTATCTTTTTGTTTTATAGGTTTACCAAGTTTCACATCTATACAGTAAAACGGAATATAAGCATAGATGATCTTTTATTTCTTTAATATTAGCTAGCCACGTTACAGGGACTTACAAAATAACGTTATATATGCAAGTGTTTTAATCATAATTTTCATTTTAAAAGATAATTGTAATTAAATGTGTATACGTCTCTGATTTATATTATTGTAAAATATTTTGGGTTTTCTTTAATGGAACTGTACCTCTTAGCAATTCTTACTGTTAATAAGTGTTAATTTCTCTCAAGTGATTACTTGATTACGCTACTAGTTAGTTTAGGTTGGACTGGTGGGATTGTGTCCAAATGTCAGTTGAGCTTAATTAATTGCCCAGTGTGAATTGATATTAATACTACGTAATATGTCATGGGCATAGTTCAGATCTTCGAAGTGCCAATTAACTGCCCCAAGCAGAAATCTCTTTAGTTTCAGCCGTTTCTTTTTTGAGACTGCAACTGCAGCACAAAGATCAATTATTATATGTGTCATCACCTAAAACAGCTGTTTTTCATTTCTTGGTGTCTGTAATATAATCATAACTTGCTGTTTCTGTACTGATAATAATAAATTTCTGTTTTTGTTAATTCCAAACTGTTTCAGTTGCCAAAAAAAAAAATATAATATATGCAATTAGTATCATAAAAAACTAAAAATAAAAGATTTACATCTAACATTTAAGCTATTAAATTTCATTTCTTTCGAGTAAGAATATTATCTAAACTAATATAAATAAAAAAATTTTTTATGATTTTAAATTCAAAGAAAAATATAAAACAAAAAATAAACCATCCGCATGTATTTAATATAAACAACAATCTTCTAAGTGAATATTATTTTAAGGTATGTATACATTACAGCTAAGCTGCGTATGCATTACTTAAGCTTTCAATTATCGTGTAATTATAACATCATTTTCATTATCGTATTAATTTCTTTCCCTATTAAATAATTTTTAAGCTTTTTTATTTGTATTTGTTTTCTTTTCCGTTTTTTGTTTCTTTTTTGTTTGAATTTATAATTTTTTTTCAAACAAACTCTGAATCAAGTTTCTAGCAAACAATAACAAAAACATAAATGCCGGTATATTTGCACAGAAAACAACAACAAAGCTAGCCAAATCAGAAAATGTGAAAAAAGTACAAACAACAAAATATTGTCTCTGTTGAGTAATTTTCTAACATTGCTTATATTCCTTCCTTTTCTTGTTTTTTGCTGTTGGTCGTCTTTCAAACAACCGCTCAGTCAAGCAAGCTTATTATAATAAAAATACACATATATGCCCACAAACAAATAATTGCTTTTATAAATGCTTTTAGAGTTGTTTCTTTTTTTCTTCTTTTTTTTTCTACTAAACACAGTGGTGGGTATTAACGAATTTTATGCCATACTTAGTGTAGATATAATTGTACATCACAACTAAAATTGATATTAGCAAAGGCGAAAATTTCCTTTGTCTTATCCGAATTTGAGTTTTCAAGTTACGTAGTTTTTGATAAAAACATTTTTCTTTTTGTTTATTTTTTATTTAACTAAATTAAAATTTTATTGATTAAAATTTTTATACTTATATAAATTGATCATTCACAACATATAAAAATGATAAGTATCAAGTTAAAAAATAAAATATTTAGTACTACTTGATGAATAATCATTTTAAATTGATATAATGAATAAATTTTATCATTTCCTCTACACGCTACTGATATTTTTATTTATTTAAATATACATATGTATGTACATGTTGTATTAAGAAACAAGTACAATAATGAAAATTAATGCTTTTAAAGTTATAAAGCTTATAAAGAATAGAGTCTTCTTTATTCACGTTTTTTGTGATATGTTCTTGCGCCTATTTGTTTCGTTTTCTACTAATTTTAATTTTAATCTGATTCTTCTTATTAATTGAGAGATAAAATACGTATAGAAGATTTTCACTATTTTAGATTTATTTAAAATTTATGGAGATACTTATTATCATTAAAACTCCTATCGTTAGGAGAGTTAGGTGTTCTACTATTAGAAAATTATTTTTTATTTATTTTTTTATTATCATTAAAATTCTCCTACCATACATCTGTTAGGTGTTCTACTATTAGGAAATTATTTTTTTAATATTGAACATTTTTTAATTGAAAGAACTTATTCCCTTTTTACTGGAGACATCTATTCAATGTGTAAGCATTGAATGACGATGAGTGTCCGCTTGTGAGAATTTTCATTGATTGTAGTAAGTCTTATGATAATATATTAGTTATATAATTTCAATATTTGAATTGTATAAATAAATTTTTTGATTATTAAAGATATAAATTAAGTTTACTATCCTTTTGAACCCTAATGGTCTTGGGAAAAGTTTTACTTTTTTTAAGATATTTTTTTGAAGCATTCACAATTCATCCCATTCTATCTAATAATTAAAAATATGAAAATAAATACAAAAAGTATAAAAATTCAATAAAAGAAATTAAAGGGAATTAGGAATAAAGGAAATAAAAAGAATTAAATAAAAATTATTACTAAATTAAATAAAAGATCCAAAAAACAGTATAACAAAAAAAAAAAAAATAAAATTAAATACAACAAATTTATGTAAAAAAAAAAATTAAATTAAACAGAAAATAAAAAAATAAATAAAATTAAATACAAAATAAAAAAACATAAATTATTGTTTTACGAATATTATATACTTACTTGATCTATAACCTTAAAACAATATTGGGAATTAATTTTTTACTTTGTATACTGTTTACATTGTCTATCTTGCCATCTTTTCTGTAACTTACGGAGTATAAATTTCCTAGTTACTTCTTGCAGTTTCCACTGACTATATAATTTCTGGCTATTATTTTTTGCAGTTTTCCATTTTTACCAAAACTTCTGACTATTTTTTGCATTTCCCACTTTTTAACCATAAATTTTCCTTACAACGTTTCCATACATTATATATTTACATACGTTTATGCATATGTGTTAAAAAACAAACTTTGAAGTTTTATTAGACAACAAAAAAAAAAACAATATTTTTAATATAACAAAGAATATATATTTTAAAAATGATTGACGTTTGAAAAATTATTTATAAATTGTTTTATTATTATACTTTTGAGATAAAGTAAATAAATAAAACATTTTTTTGACGGTATTTATATGCGTTTTAGAATTTTAGTTATGAGCAAATTTCAACATTTTTTATGTGTGCAATATTTTTTCCACAATTAACCAAAATTAAGTATAAATTTTGAGTTTTGTTTACCTCGCAACTCAAGTAATGATCACATAAAAAAAAAGTTATAGAATATCAATTCCACACAAAACTGTTCTGTCTGCCTGCCTTCTACACTTTTAATTATTGTGTAATATCAGCACAGCTTTGAGTCGCTCTTCTTCGTTTGTTCGACTCATCGACTCATTATTCTCATATCTCAAAATAACTGTTGCTTGGCCGTAGCAACTGAGATTATTGCTAACTTCTTTTTCTTTGCATTTATATATACATATATGTACATATATATCATATAAAACATGCAGATTATTTTTTAATTAAAACCGCAGATTAACAAATATTCTAATTTGAATATTATCCTCACACAAATTAATTCTGAGTCTACCAAAGCCGATCTTTCTTTATGTGCCCCGCTAAGAATTAGTGTAATATTTGTGTAAAGCAACGAATCTTCAGTGCTGGTTGTCTAAACAACTGCTACAACTGGCGCTTGGCTCTCTCGCTCTCTTTTTCTTCTTCTTCTTCTTCTTTCTCTATTTGAAACTTTTTTACATATAATTTCAGTCAGCTTTTAACTTGCTTGCTTTGTAGACGTTCCGTTAAAATTGAATAAGTGTCTTTATGTTTTATGTTTTTTTTTTTTAAATAATAATATTTAATTATGTACATACATTTAATGTACAAAGTGTTGAATATAAAATTTTCCAAATATACATAAAATTTCGAAGAAGAAGTACTTTAATTTTATATAAAATTCTTCGCTTATTAAAAATAAAACCCTTTTTTTTACTTATTCAACAATTCCGTTTTATATGAATACATGTGTTTCAAAGAAAATTTTGTGAAATTCTTGTTGATGTGTGTGCAGAGTTCACGTGTACGCAGTTCGGTTCTATATTTGTGTGTGTGAATATAACAGCTGATTTGTTTGTGTAATTTGTTTGAGGGCATATGTGCATTTTTAATCCTGTTTATTTAAAGCCCTACATATAAGTATACAAAAAAAATATTTCAAAGTGTGCAAACGCATACAAGCTTAAAAAATAAGAAAAAATATATATATATATGTATAAAGTGTAAAAAGAATATAAATAATAGGCAACATAAAAAATACAAGAAAATATTAAATAAAAAGTAAAGCCATAATAAACGGTAATAATCAAGTGTAGTATCACTTCTTTTGTCATCACTAATAATGCAATGGCATTTATTAGTTTTTGAAAAAACTTAATATTTAGACCAAACCTAATTTTTGTGTAAAGAGGAAACAAGTGAATAATTTTGTGTTGATTTTGTGTTTAATGTTTTTTTCGTAAATAATAGTTTTGCAATTGCAAATAATACTAAAAGTTATATGAAATATTTTGCTATTCTGCGATATAATTAAAATTATTTAAAATCGTCACTAATGATGAAATTACTACATGATTTTATGCTAAACACCAGAAATGTTGAGGATATTGGATTGTCACCGGAAATGGTAAAGTTTTTTTTAAAAAAATCTAATAAAAAGTTGAACAATTAAATATTTTATTCATATAGCATAAACTTTTCTTCTGTTCGAATTTATTATTTCCTTTAATGTGCAATTAAATATATTTATTATTACTCTTTCTGGCTCATGCTACACTTAGTAATTTTTTAAAGTTTAATTTTGATACCTTAATTTTTTGCTTGCTATACTTGATGAATTCTGCAGATTGAAAATTCGTATATATGAACTCTGCTTGGTTGTGTGTGTGTGTGTAAAAAAGAAAGCAAAAAAACATTTTGAAAAATAATTTAATATTTATGTTAATTTTCACAAATTACATATTAGAACATTTACATGAGAAGAAAATTATTACTTCGACTAAATGAATTTTTTTACCAATCCTTTAGAAATCCAAGATAATTGAATTTATCATATAAAGATAAATTTAATAAATAAAAAATTATATTAAAATATATTACATGGCAATCATGTCATTATTTCAAATTTATTACAGCTCATGTAAACATAAATTAGAAAATTACAACAAATTATAGAAGAAAAATACATTGCTTGTATTGGTTTCATTACCTTTTCTACAGTAAAATTCCAATCCATTAAATGCAATAAGCTGTACTACTGTTGAAAAAATTAATTTTAATACTCAATTCTACTCAACTGTGCTATGGGGCTATAGGCATAATGATATCTTTAAAACAGACTTATGGTGTTAAAAAATAGATCAAAAATGTATTATGATTGTACACAAAAATGTGAAGTATACGCTGACTCTGAGCTTCAAATTTGGCAGGACATGAGTTCGATTCCTGGCATTTGCAGTCTCAAAAAATTATTTACGAATAATTAAATACTAGAATTATTTCCAAGACCACTGACGATGGATATTTGGCAAAACTCGAAACAGTTGTATCGTCAGCCAAAAATTCAATTAATTAAAATAATATAAAATGAATTTATATTGTAATTCACCACTGTTCGAAAAACCACTTTACAATAAAAATATGTCTATAATAAAACATTTCCTAATATGCCTGTATTTTTACTTTTGTGTTTTTAAATAAATAATTAAAGGACAGTATTATTTAGTAATACTCAGGATTGAAACCTGTTAACCTTTTTACCTGTTGATCAATGATTTATGCCTTCGCTTCTTTTTTTTTGCTGTGATGCATTTTACCATATGCTTCTCACTTCTTCAGTTACAGGTAAACATGTTCTGTCTAAATAACAAACACCTAAGTTATTTTGCAAATCAAATACATATTTAATTTTAGAAAATTATATATTATATTATATATATTATATCATATAATCTATTCAATTTTTTAATTTAGAATAATATAAAATGTCAAGAGTCCGAATTGTAAATATTTCATGGCACAGATACTCGTATTCGTAACTATACTATTTCATTTGCTGATGTAATTACTGCGAGAAACTCAATACAGAGACTTAAGCTGAATGAAAAGTAACTTAATTATCAAAGCAAAAGATAAATTAAAAATAATAAGTACTCCAATTAATTTAAATGTTTTTATATGTTTCGTTAATATAGCTTTAGCTAAATTAAATTGAATTGAACTGGATTGTGCTTAAGTTGTTCTATAGTATCTAAATTCCATCAGTATAACATTGTAGTAACACTATTCACACTTTATTTCTACGATAGACCACTACTAAAACACAACCATTTAGAAAAAGGGTCAGAATATATGAGTGAGCTTAGAGTTACAGTTGGGGTTGCTTTATTAAATAACTGTATACGTGCATTATATATGTCTTTTAGAATTATGAAAAATAACACAAAAAATAGTTAAAATATAAATGAATTTAAATTGCAATAAATTTTTTCCGGTTTGTTATACTTTTTGATTTTTATATTCGTTGAATATTTTATAAGTGAAACAATACAATGTTAAATCGTTTTGTTAGCATTTTTATCCGCTTCAATAGATACAATACACAATTTTTGGGTGTGCGGTTGATAAAGAGGTACGGTTTATGATTGTACAAGAAATATTTTTACAGCTCAAAATAAAACGATAATTTTAAGGTGTTGTTTTACCAAAATAAAAGGAATTTCAAAGGTAGTCCTGAACGTGAAGTTAACACACAAAAATTAGAAATAAAAAACTTCGTACCCATTACTTTCGCGTCTTGCGTTCAATAATTTCAATAACTTTGGTGTATATAGTAAACCAATGTATGAGTACAGTATATACTTATATTTTTTTGTTTTTATGTTTTAAAAACATATTGTTTATGTATAAATTTAATTTGTAGAGAACGCACTAATTGTCTATTATATATATGACCGTAAATATATACTAAACTTATTGATAACTGATTGAGAACACATATGTGGAGTACATAAAAGCTTTATAATGAACTAATAGTTTGCTTACCATGTATGTGGTAATAGTTGTTGTTGCATTTTATATTATTTTTCATAATTTTATTACGTTAGCTTTCTTTCAAAAAATCCTTGCCCATGAACAAATAATTAACTGTATTTCCAGCAGAGTTATTTATGATCGAAATCTGCTTTTTCATTGCGAATGTTTGAGGAGAAACACAAATGAAGCAGCAATTAACATTACGTTTCAAAGCTAGGCAGTAAGGCTGCCCTTAATTCTTTCAAAATGAATTTACGTATGCTGGACAACTACTTAAAATTCTTCAATAAACTGGAACAAATCAACGATCGTTTGTTTGTGGTAGTTATTACGGGATATATAAAGAACACAATGGCAAGAAAAGGGCTGACGAAAAGACAAATCTATTAACACATTGGTTGATAAGTCTGTATGATGGCACACAGACATCGTCACTAATAAAAAAAAATATAGTTATTAATAACTGTGCAAATTCCGTGACATTTGAACTATCGCGCCAAAACTTAGAGGAATGGATTGCTGAATTTAAACACTCTAGATGCCTAAAAGTAGTGGTAATACCAGAAAACTTCAAAAAAGTTCACAAATAGTTTTAGCAAAACATAAAGTAAATCTGCAGTCAAATTGAACGCTTTAGGGTTTTCCTATCTGACACCTTAAAGATTTCAAAGGAACGTGTACATACCGGCTTCATTTTGCATGACCGTTTGTCTATGAGAAAGACTTTATAAACCTATTTAAAGCAGTCTTCAACAATCTCTGTACATTAAGCACAGAAGAAATAAATATTTTCAGTAGAAATATTCTTAGCCAGTAGTAGTCGCTTTTGTCACTTTTATAAAATATTGAAACGTCTGCAAGCACATTAAATAAGGAA